TTTCTTGAGGGATCATTCTCATCTTCGAACTCGACCGAGATATTCATGAGATTGAACTGTGTGGAAAATTTCATCACGGTCTGACTCTCCTTTCGCAAGTTATCGTGCCTACAGCCGGCCGGACACACTGACCGATTCTAGAGTGTACTCACTTTTTGAGTACACAAAAATAGCGAATCGTCAGTTTTTTAGTATTTTGAACTTTTCTCCGACAAAGCTCACTCGAAAAATATTTGAAAGGTGAATATTTGTGATCGTCTCGCCAAGCTCTATCTAGTCATGTAAAATATCAGGGATGAAGAAATTTTGCTCGACGTTTGCCCTGGATGCACTTTATATTGATAATTCTATTTCAATAAATTAGCAAAATACCTTAACAATAATTATCATACATATCGGACATCCGTTGAAAGGAAACGAAAAACTCTATGTACGTAAAACTAATGCGTTAGCATGACAAACGTACGTGTCTTCGTTATAGATTACTAATGTGTCACCCTCAAAGGTATTTTATTATTAATCAACAGTGAGTAACCATGGATTTTAAAAATTTTTCTTTATAGAAAAAAATGTATATATTTGAGAATTTTTTGATTTGTTTTTATAAAAAGAAAATTTTTTTCCTTTTTTCTTCACCGAGTAAACGTAATAATAAGAAATAACCTTTGTTTTCTCTTTCCAATCTATCTATCTTCACGATAAGTATATAGCTAAATAAAATACTTATATTACTAAGATATTTAAGCTTACCTCTAAGACCTTCACGCACGAATTTGCGTGTCCTGGAAACAAATGTAGTAGCAAATTTTGTTCTAAGTGCTGATTGTCGGACGAAATGGCTCATGATAAAGTTTTATGGTTTGTCTAGTTGTTGTTGAAAGAAGAAAATCATACACACATTGAAATAACAATCAATGGCAAATATGGCGAGCAACAGTAGCGATTATAATTGTACTTCTAGTTGACGGAAATGATTGCATTGTGTTGTGAGTATATGTGTTTGAGTTGGTCGTTGTCGTTGTTTGCCTTTACAAACTATGTTTGAAGTTGCATGTACGCGTGGGTGCTAAAGTAGAGTAACGAAGAGCGATTTAAAAAACCCGACAAGAAGAAGACGAGAGAGAGAGAGAGAGAGAGAGAGAAAAGGGGAAATAGAAAGAGGGGGAGAGAGGGAGAACCAAAAAAATGGAATACAAAAATACGAGGAACAAGAAAGAGTAGTATATGGGAGAAAGTTTCCTTCTTTTTTTCTTATGTATCTGACCTTGTTGAATAGGATAAAATAGAGTGTGAAGAGAGAGGGGAAGAGAGGAGAGAGAGAGAAGGGAAGAGAGAGACGAGAGNATGAGAGAGACGAGAGAGAAGGGAAGAGAGAGACGAGAGAGAAGGGAAGAGAGAGACGAGAGAGAAGGGAAGAGAGAGACGAGAGAGAAGGGGGAGAGAGCGAGGTATGAAAGGAGAGATAGACACGAAGAAAACTGATCATAATGTTCTTTTACCAGCATCAGTAACATGACACGAATCGAGCATGCATACTTAGCCGAGTGAGTGTTTATGGTTTCTTGATTCGGCTCTGTTATTCGATCGACAAAAAAAGCAGACGAGCGAATGAACTGAGTGCTTTATATCAAAACCACTTTACATCGGGTGAATTATCGTGCAATTGCAAAACCTAACAGTAGTCAGGCGATAAAAAAGTGCTATTTAAGCACGACTTTCAAGTCATGACATTGATTGAAATGAACATCAAATTTTTTCAGTAAGCTATTAAATAATTTCCTAACGCATATTTTCTAATGAACAGGATCGTGCGTCAATTGTTTTCTTAATACTATTAAACCTAAACCAAGTTATCCAAAAAAGAAAAACTTCACTCTTTAAACTGCAATAAAACCAATGTACTCAAATTACAAAAGGATTATATTCATGCTTAGATTTTAACATGAAATACGAAGATAGTGCCAAAACCTAATTATGCCTAAAATATCTATTTGCTTTAACACACAATAGGATCAGAATAATACTATTAAAATATCATATCTTTTTTGTGACATGAAAAGATATCTATTACAGATTGCTAATGATCGACCACAATTAGTTTTCGTTCATGTTTTGTCACGAAAGGTTCGCTTATCACGAACGTTACCAATTAAAACAAGCATATATTTACTATCAATTATATCTCCACGCTTGGTATTGATAGTAACCTAAGCTTCTACAGATATTTTTCTTTACATATATTAAATATTGCATTGAAAACAGATCGTATGATTCTATTGTTAACGAGTAGCTACTTAGTTCTGGATAAGTAATTCAATTCAATAGAAAAATTATATTTTTGTATGAAGATCAACTTTTGATAATTGAGCATACACTCAATTTTTGATACGAAATTTATGATACATATCTTAAATAAGCATTTTACAAAACTAATTTAGATCAACATCATCTCGATTTCTCTGTTGTGATTAGTACCATAAGACAAAAAGTGCATACAGTTGAAATATATTATGCACATAATACATACATACGTATGTGACAGTCAATAAAAAATATTAACATCTTATGCATGTTCATTGTCTGATACATGAAAATATCGAAAGAAACTTTCAGTCATTTTCCCACCATCGAATGACATATTGAATGCATGTATATAAAAAAATTTGAATAAATAAACTTTTCTTACTATCAACAGCTCCCAATAATAACTACTATGTCACTTCACAGTATCTTATTGATTTGACCTGAAACATGGTGAAAAAAAAAGAAACATAAAATAAACGTAAATGACAAATTTACGTTAAAAATACAACAACATATATGATCTATAATAAAAATTTGCACAAAATAAGAAAGAAAGAAAAATATTCGATCGTTTATTTTCGCAAAACAAAGATTTTTGTCAAATGATGATTGAATTTGTTTTTACAAATGGGAATAATATGTCAAGTATCACATCTATTGACTTAGAGCAGCGAAATAAAAACATGAGCCATTCTCATAAGAGAGATAATGTGGTACACTGAAAAATCAATCAAACGAAAATCCGATCGAGCCTATGAAGATGACGATAATAGTAGTGAACTTGATAACAGTTATTCAAATCGAGTTGATAAGTCATTTTTATCAGAGTGGCTTTTTCTTTGACTAAATCAGCAGTAAAGTTCGGAAACACTCTTTTCTTCTACTTTATGAGAGAAATGATATTGTTCTTTAGAAATTCTTTGATAATCAAATAAAACAAATCGTAGTACTATCGATATGCTTCATTAAATCAGAACTTATTCCAATGCAACGCATTATTCGCTTGATTTATTAAACTATTATTATAGGTCTTTTCTTCATCTGGATTATAATGCATCGATGGTAATCGATTTGCTCTTTGTCTTCGATCAGCAAGATTAGCGTGAGACTTTTATGAAAAGGGAATAAAAATCCTTTTTATATATTGATAGATGCAAGTAGAACTGATAGAAAAATGAAAGAAAAACGTTTTTTTACGTCCTTTTGTTATATATAAACTTTATTTACCTATTGCAGTATATGCGTTTTGTTGGACATACTAGAACACAAAAGAACGAAAGGCAAAATAAAACAAAAAACGAGACAGAACCAACAAGGTTAAGTAATGCTACCATCTAGTATAAGCCGGTAATCTGAGTATTTGCTTACCGTGTAGCAGAAAAGTAGAAATAGTTAGAAAGAAGCGAAAAATACTAGTAACAACAAGATTTATTCAAAGAAATACGTTCGTATCTCGTGTAGATTATTTTAATGAAATTATCATACTTTACTGACAGTAGCAACGATAAAAAAAACAGTACAAGTAACATGTCCGATCTTTCATTACAACGACCTAGCAAAGGTGAGCCGATATTTATCTTCAGTTGACTTGATACTAAAAATATTTGCCAACAAATATATTATATTACGTCTACAAGTATTGCTTTTGGTTTAAAAATCACTGATGATAGGAATATAATATACCTATACGTATAATCAATTTTGTTTTCTATTTCTCTTCAGGACATACGCATAAAGGAGATCGACGACTAAGCAATCTACTCTATCGTAAATCAAAACTTGAAAGTGTTAATGAAACATCTGCATTACTTAGTGGATTTGAAATTGTAAGCTATTAAATAATATTCGATTCAAATTTCATTTTAAAAATAACTTAAAGGTAGCCATTGTCGAATTATCATTAGATTCATATAAAGAAAATAATTCTAGTAATGGTCTTATTATTTGTTATGCTATTGTATCGTGCCTTTTAGTAGGTATTCATTTACTTGCTTTACTTATGTCAATGTGTATGTTACCTGAATTAAAAGTGTGATACGCCAAAGTGATGTTTGGATGAATAATGAAAATAGCAAACCTTTATCATCATTAAATGTATATACCGAAATAGCATGGGTTGTCTCTACAGGTTTTGGTCTATTTTTATTTATCATTGAGCTTTATCTTATTTTTTGGATTAAAGTGAGTGGCTTTTCTCAAACAGCTGCTATTGCTGCTCTTGTTACACTGTGCCTTGTTGGTTGCCCGTTTATTTTATTTGCTATTGGCTTTTGTTTTCGTGTAACACGAGCAAAAGTTCATTTCCATCAAACAGATTTAGAAAATATGGAGCGTGGTGCTATTGCTCGTGGCTTATTTATGAATAATCCGAATGTTCCACTAACATCATTAGCAACACATGTAGAAGAAAATTCATGAAGATACTTAAAACAAGACATCTGTATAAATAAACGACAACTTATATTTGTTTTATCATTCAGAATTTTTTTTTTATTAGGATATATCACGAAATTCTTGCAAAATTTCAATTAAACAAATATTAACAAAATTATATTAAACTCACATTAGAATTGCTTAGTTAATTTTTTATTTTCTGTTAAAAGTCAGTTTTTTTCACGCTTCTCAGTTGTTGTTCATGATCTTCTCGTTCTAATACTCATAGATTCTTTTTCTCAAAATCTCGTTTGTTAACAATATTTGATTCTCTAGATTTAAATCCATACAACGTTTCATCTAAATCGGTAAGATGAAATGTAGAAAGTAAATGATCTTTAGATAGTGGACATAGACTAACTACTTCAGCAATAACTGGTACCATGTCATATGTAAATACTTAATAATTCTCATGCTATTCGAATGATTTGGAGAACTCTTATATGGTAATCAAGAATTTCAAACGAGTAAACTTTCTTTACGAATTGACATTGGTTGAATATGTTCTCGAATAGAACCATCATCTTTAGGATTTCGAATCATAGTTGGATTTTAACTTTGATTTATATTTTCCACCGTCTTGTTTCCATTAATCTACTAAAGCTAATATGCCTTATAATTTTCTTTCATGGATGTCATTATTGGTTGGTTTATTTGGCGTTAGTAGTTGATCTATACTATTTCCAAAATTGCCTTCTGCAATGTTTCCAAAATCATATGTAGCGGTTCGATCAGTTAATACATTCATATATAAATGAAAACATACTGATAGTGTTTTTGTGTACTCAAAAAGTGAGTACACTCTAGATTCGGTCAGTGTGTCCGGCCGTTAACACGATAACTCTTAAAAGCCTCATCCAATTGTCTTGAANCCAAACCATCTCTGAGGCGGGGGGGGGTACAGTTTTTTTTCAAAATTTTGCTTTCCTCAGAATTATTCAAAACATATATAAATCGACTCAGTTTTTGCAGTACACATAACAATCGGATGCGAATCCGATGTTTCCTCATTTATTTTAATTTCTCTTTTATTTAATGAAAGAAAAAATATATCGTTTGTTGTAGTCACATTAATCCAGCTCATGATATGTTGACAATTAATTCACTATCACCTAATAATGTTTGAAACATCTGATAAATATATTTAGAATTTGTCGATTATTACATCCCTATAGATATAGATATAGGCAATGTTTATTTCTAAGCATTCCAAATTTTAAGAAACTAGACCGCCAAGAAGTCCATCATTCGAGTTTATCTTGTTCAATAATTCTAGTGAATATTTCATGTTAAAATCACCTAACTTCATTAACGTTACGTTGACACTGCTCTTCAGTTAATACATTCGACACAATGACTACTCTATCGTTTTCAAAAACTCTTAATATTTCTTCTTGTTGTTCGGCATTAAAACGAATAATAAATTCATTAGAATCCATTGAGAATGTGGTCAGGTTGAAATATATCATTATTATCTAGTGATAAATTAATTTCTGAAGGTCTTACTAAAGTACTAGTTGCCTTATTACCCATATGAAAATGATAAATATTGAGACCTAATGTAAAAGAGAAAATTAACTACCTAAAATATCGATAAATACAAGATTTGATAATAACATTACTTGATCGCGTATATTTCTAGTTGAATATGTTTCATGAAAGAAGAGGAGTATATTTATTTTATGGTGGTGCGCAATAAGTAAAGGATGCTAAAGTGTCAAATACATGATGTGAACTAGATAGAATTGAACCAAATAATCTGATCGCTACCGTTAGTTGGAAACAATAATTCAATATCCTAATTCAATTTTACTGCGCAAGCTATTTGTTTGACTCTTAAGTAAAATAAACGTTAACCTATTACAAAGTAAATATATGACCAAAACAATGAATTCTTTTGTAACAAAGTTCGAACTTGATTGACGTGTTTATCAACGAAGAAAGATAGAGGCTATAATTCATTTTTTATGAAATGTGCTAGACTTCTGCATGTTGGCTGCATTTCAGTGGCGAGTTTTGAGTTTTAATTAGTCGATGATGCATGTCGATTTAATTAGAACTCAATGCATACATTATTATTTCAGTATAAACAAGACATTACTCATTTTTATATACAGATGATAAGCCAATTAAATTGCAGTCCTTGCTTCGCTACAGTTCAAACACATTTTTTTGCGTTTTTATAACTAAAAATTAATGGACAGGAACTATAAAGAAAAAGAAACAATATATACAGTCAGTTCAAAAAGTATATGGACATCCGGCCTGTTTTCTTGATTTGTAAGGTAAATACAAGAAATAAAATTTATCTTTTTGTTTCTAAACAGGCAGTCTTCACTGCATAGTACGCTTCTCTATATAGTAATGATGTCTATCATGACGATTTATAGAAGATTCATTCTAGAAAACATGTGATTTTACAATCAGTCCAGATCAAGATTCTTCTGGTTTTCATACAAAAATGCTCACTTTTCTGGCATGTTTCAATGTTGTTAACAGATAATGTGTCGATCTAGAGAACATTGGCGAACTATGAACTTTACGAGGGAACATTCCCAAATGATTCACACCGTTTGGTCTCATATTTTGCTCATAGGTAGGAACCGATGAGACTAGGAAAAGTCTAAAAGATTCCGTGCCCTTAGGCCTTTCCTTCGAAATTAAGACCGTTTTACTGAATTTTCGACCTTAGCCAAGGAATTTATAGAAGAATTAAATAAAGAAATTCTGAGCTGAAATTTTGTCTAACAATAGGTCTCGTTGATGTTAGAAAATTTTAAAACTTTCAGTTAAAACTGATGCTTTCTTTTAGAGATATTGCAGATTAAAGAAAAATAAATTTTACGATAATTTTTGGACCATGGCCGTTTTCTTTAATCTGCAATATCTCTAAAAGAAAGTATCAGTTTTAGCTGAAAGTTTTACAATTTTTTAACACCAACGAGATCTATTGTTAGACAAAATTTCAGCTCAGAATTCCTTTATTTTATTTTTCTATAAATCCCTTGATATCAGTCATCATCAAATATCGAACTTTATTAAATATATCACCTGGAAAAGAGTTGTAATTGATATGGAAATGAATAAATATGAGCCCTGCGTCTGGCCTCCTCCTTTGATCTCGGATGAACACACGAAACAACTTGTCCGTTTCCTGTTCCAATAAAACTGTGTTCACTGTTTTCACTTGAGAAAAGATCAATCATAGTATTCTTGTCGTCAACCCATGTATTAATACTGAAAGAAGATTTGTTTAATTCTTGAATATGAACAAGAATTTGATCATATCATTGAGTACCATCAATATAAGTAGAGTCGTGTCTCATTAATGACATATATAATATCAATTCTTCAAGATTTATCAATACGACGAAGTAATGGAATAATACAATTATCATAAACCAATGTGTAAACAATCGAAGTTAATGCGAAACATTTCAATTTGGAAAATTTCTTTTATAGAAAAAAGAAGAAATTAAGAATATCTATGTATTCAGTTGAATGATTTTCCTCAAAACAATGATCGGAAATTATACTTACTGTGTTATCTAGATCTGATGATGGGAGTGAAAGTTTGCTCACATAAATAATCAATGTTGATAAAAAGTCGAAACGCCCATCAATAAGATAAAGACAATTTTTCAAAGTTTGGACATTAATTTTCAATTTAGTTAAACTTGAAGACATACAATATGCTGATAGTAGATTATAAACACACATCGGGAAGCATCGTTCAGGTAACACGATAAAAACTCAAATCGATTAATCGTTTACATAAAGATAAAATCAAAGTGAATATATTTGATAGAATTTCGAAGTATTTTCTTGATTCTGCATCCTGAATATCGATATTAAGATGTGTAATTTGTTGAGTAAGAAGCTTACGAAGCACTGAATCACCTTCAATTTAAAAACAAAGACGATTATTAATTTATGGCTTCCTGCTTTTACTCATTAAAATAAATAATATGAAAAATCGTATACCTGTCAAATACTGTAAAAGTATTTCTTCTTGAAAATTAACAAGTGATAACGAGCTGGCTTCGCAGCAGTCCTATATATCCTGTATTTCCTATATTTTAAAAATTTATCCTATAATAGACTATATTTTGAGCTTTTTTCCTATATTCCTATTTTTTTTTGATAAAATTGAAGATTCTTCTAAAAAAATTCAAAAAACTCCTGATAAGTGTTCAACACATCATTTAAATATTGTCAGTAACAATTTGTATGGCGCTTATTTCCTATTGGTTCATCTAGATAATGTATATAGTATACTCTTTGCATTAGTTGTCTTTGTATCAGTGCTTTATCCAGAATTTCTGGGTATGCTAGATCTCAGCGTCAGTGCATGAGACCTAGATGGAACTTATGAGGGGTCATATTGGAGCTAAGTAATGAGGTTTTGTGGTCAAAAGTTTGTGATTGTAGTTTGCGAAAACAAAATAATTTTTTTGCTTGCCCAACCGGCAAATGTTTTTAACCTTTTTTGGTATTCCGCCTTTCAGAATTTCATAGTAAGCTACATCAAATTTCATCGAAAAATAAGCATCCATTCAGGAGTTATAACGGTTTGAAATTTTGCTAAAATCTTGGCAGTATTTGAAAAAAATGCACAACGTTATAACTCCTGAACGGATGCTTAGTTTTCGATGAAATTTGATGTAGCTTACTATGAAATTCTAAAAGACTGAATACCAAAAAGGTGTGGGTGTGGGTGTGAGTATTTTGTTCAGAAACTCGCCCACACCCTAAAGTGCATGCATGTCCAATAGTGAAAATAAATCGAACATAAATTAGTTTTTTTATGTTTTAAGAAAATCTTGCTGCTCCATTACTTTTCAAAACTTAATAATATTTTTATTTAGCTGATTAGATATACGTGCAAAAACAACACATTATCATCTTCAATGCTGTTACAGTGATTTTTCGGTGTCTAAATCTTTTTCTGGAATAAATTTGTCATCCTATATTTTTCCTATATAGTTGAGGGCGATCCTATATATTTTAGACCTATCCTATATAGGAATTCCTATATTTTTTGAGAGAGCCGCTGCGATGCCAAATAACGAGTCAAGCTGTGAAAAATTGGCAGTAAGAAGAATACGTTTCATTGAATGTGATTCAACGATGAGTTTCTCTACTTGATGATATATTCGAGGTAAGATTTTTTCACATATTATATCAAGAGCCTGATTGCCTATTGAAGAACCACCATTAAACATTGGATTGATGGTCATATCGAGATAATGAATATAGAAAGGGTAAAGTACTAATCGGTCAAACCATTCATTAGCATCTACAAACAAATAGAGAACATCCATCATATTTAGTTTGTTGAAAATGGTGACTAACATTTCGTTGGGAAAATCGACTCAGGTCAATGATTCCGGAGGACAGATACCGTAGGAACCAGCCGGACAAATGCAGAAAAATCACCGTATGTGGTCGGAAAGCACGGGAAAGCGGAAGCAGTATTCCGGTTGGAAGTTACCGGATCTTTTATCCTGTGGATTCCGGTCAGTTTCCTGTGCTTTCCAGCTGGAAGTTGACCGGAATTCACAGAAAAATTCCAGTAATTTCCGACTGAAATATTGCTTCCTCTTTCCAGCGCTTTCCCGTGCTTTCCGACCGTTTTCCACCGTACCTTCACGACCCATCGAGTATACTCAAACGATTGTTGTGTGAAGTGTCCATGGTTAACTCACTCTATCTATTTATTTCAATATATATGTCTGCTTTTTCTCATTGCCATCTATCGAAACAAATAATGGACAAAAATATTTGATACTGTCATATTAAGCGACAATGAATGGCTGATGGCATTTTTCTTTTTGCCTAACATTTTTCATTATTGATTCATTCATTAGGCCATCGTGCGCCTGCCAAAGTGTTTATCATGTAGTGTGTGGGGGGTATCGATTTCAATTTAATGTAAAAATGAATCTTAAGTATCATAGGTTACATTTATTTCAAATTAAAATTATCGATAATTTAACTTATTCATATATTTAATTAAGACTAAATTGAGATAGATACCTGTTTGCATGCTGTTTATAATATACGTTAAATAAAACACAATATACCAATTTAAACACTTACTATTGTCTCATAAAGTTGTTCAACATGTTGCTTTTATGAAAGAACTTCATTAATTCGATTTGCTCAAACTCAAACAATCAGTGATGTCACAACGAGCGAAGCAGAAACTTACGTAGTTCGTTTAAGTCGGATTTAGAGGTGTGCGAAATAAAAAATGAATGGGTGCCAGTGCCAGAACCGACACCATAGGTAGTCGCTAGATGTTCGATTGCGTCTGAGCGTTTTTTTTACATATGATGCCAATCGTAACAAACGCAAGAGAGAGTACCGAATATTGTGGCACAACACATCAGCAAGTTTTTGAAAAATTTGGAATTCGCTCATATTCTAGATTTATTTTATTTAGGCTGAAATCGTGGCTACGAGGGAAGAAATTACGGTAATCAAGGTAAAAAAAAACTTGTTTTGATACATTTCGAGTCGGATCACTGAGAGATCATTGAACTTCAGATTTAGTGAGTCAGAAATTATGTTCATTCAATTTTAGTTTTGGTGGCATTGTCTTGAGATAAATATAGGAAACGTAGACTTTATCAATCTTTTCGACAAATAAAGAGTAACAAACCTTTACAACTGCAGACTTTTTGTATTGTCTCTAACTTTACAGGAATACATTGAGGAGAAAAAGTCTCGGGTGGCGATCGTACCCAGGTAGATTAACTTGGGTCGGACGCGGCCGTTTGGCCATAATTTATGACCGTTTGGTACGAACCGTATTACTGTCGTTTTTCATCGTGCCAAAAACGATCGGATACTGAAATATTCGACCACATTACGGCAGTTAGTAACCGTTTACGACACGGCGAAATACGGTGCATGCCAAAACGTCTAATTACGGCGATTTACGGTCGAAAACATTATAAAACGGTAGTATACGGCCGTTTACGAACGTATCAGGTCGTCGTAATGTGCGTTCTGTGTTGTTTCAGCAACTTCAGTAATGTATCTAGAAGGTCATGTATGTGTTCCTGAACCATATATCCATTTCTAGCAACTACAGTCATAGTTTCAGCAGTTTGAGGCACCATTTATGAATTTGATGAAGAATCTTAGCCGGCTTAGACGTAATATCGAAGTTTGAATTATATCAATTATAAATGAGATACCTTTTAACGTTTTGCTTTTTGCTGCAACTATATTTATGCCTGATTTTTTATTTTCGAAGCGATATTGTGTAGTTGACCCTTGATTGATATTAGAATTGGAATTCAGCGTCTCATGCTGAATTATACGAAGAAGCGAAAGCACAAATTATTCAGTGCTCTGCTGGAATCGAATATTGTGATTCATTATTCTTGCTCATCTACGTTTCAAAAGCTTAATAGAAACAGTAATCATTCGTCGAAGAAATCACAAGCTGAGACATGGATTTACCGTTTCGGAGAAGATCCAAGCGGTTAATCCGGTCAGAAAGATGTCCATTGGATAGCGCTCGCCAAGTCCTATCACCGTTCCTCTATTTCAGTTTTTGGTCCCATATCTGAGCGAATCGCTACGGGTTTTACGACGAAAACCAGGTTTTAGCAATGAATCTGCTGCTTAGGGGAGCTTGCAATTATTGAATGCTACTGTAAAGATAATCATTCGATAAAGCCCGTCAAGACCTATCTAACTATGCCAATTCCAGGCTTAGGTGCCTTTTCTGAGCGAATCGCGACGGGTTTTACCAAAAATGTATACTTTTTGCTTGTTCTTAGTGTACTCAAAAAGTGAGTACACTAGAATCGGTCAGTGTGTCCGGGCGGCCGTAGGCACGATAACTTTCGAAAGGAGAGTCAGATCGTGATGAAATTTTCCACACAGTTCAATCTCATGAATATTTCGGTTGAGTTCGAAGATGAGAAGAATCCCTCAAGAAATGGCTGAGTTATCGNTATGACTTGACTAAGGATACCAATGATTTATGGAACAAGACAATATAGAGAAACGAACGAGAGTTATTCAACAATAGTTCAAAGAATTAGCGTTGAGTATGTTGAAGAACAGTTGAGAATAGAAGAAGAAAAAGGCAATAGAACCTTCTTCTACTATTTTGTTGAGAAAGATGAATACATAGTAACTCATTTAAAAGGAAAAACAGTAAGTATATGATACATTGATTTTTTATATATTGGCGTGTACAAGAAAAAGAAACGATTAATTATACTCATATAGAAAATAATATATATATATTAATAAAATCAGTAGTGACCGTACCGTCACAGAGGGGTACAGGGATTTTTTCAAAACACAAATTTTTCTCAGAATTATTCACGACATATATAAATCGACTCAGTTTTTAACGCTGATTCCGAATCTGATATTAGTTTCGATCTAAAGCGTAGCTTTCTAACGAAACATCGCCTGGCAAAAGTCTCAAAATGCACAAAACTGCATCCTGAAATCAAATTGCCTAGTTTCTCAGGATAATTTTGGTGTTCAGGCATTCTAGAATGACTCATATGTCCCATGCACCTTTTGCAGTACACATAACTCTCAGATGAAATCCAAAGTTTCCACATTTATTTTGAATTAGATCACAATATAGAAGGTATATCTTTCTTCATTGAAAAACATGCCAATAGATAGAGCTGGATATGCTTGTTCTAGTAATATACATATGATTCAGCCCTAATGTCGGAAAGATAGACGGTCAGCGCCTCATGGCAAATTCGTCACAATAAATAAAGCGATTTAAAAAGAATGTCTGAAAGGCGAGCAATCATGTGAAAAACATAAAAATCTTGCTCTATATATATTGAAAAATTTCATATTTTCAAGAAAAACTTTTGTATACTTCAAAATTATTCATATAACTAGAAGATGAGGACTGTCTAATAAGAAAAAGAAGGTAAATTTGATTTTTGTTTTTTATCATACAAATCAAGACAACAAAAAATCATGGAGAGTCCAAATTCTTTTGTATACTGACTACAGTGAGAAAGTGTTTTTTTCATATAGTAACACTTATTGTTGAAGTTGGTTCGAAAATCGTTATTTCACCACGATGTATTGAGATACCCTCAAGAATCACTGACTAATCAAGATTCATCGATGATGTTTCATTCCATTGAGCGAAACAGCGAGCAATTTGTCAGTGGTTTTTTCCTTTCGCTCAAATTTGTATTCATCTTCGCTGTGTTTAAGTATCACGATTGATCATCAAGAGTTATACGATTATGATGATGTGTTTACAATTAAAGCAGCGTCGAGCTTTGACATTTCACAGCAATGACATTTTTCAAGCTCATTGAAATCAAGCTCTGAATGAGAATTTATGAAATTTTCAGTCAAGGAGTGCAAAATGTATTGAATTATACGAAAATCAAATTATAGTGTAAGATCTGGTTAATGAATAAAACCAAATTACCACACCAAGTACTTATCAAACAGAAATTCATAGTCCATAACGATATTCAAAATAATAACATTTTACTAGTCGAAATTTCAAGACACTCGTCATGGATAAAGGCTTAAATATTTAAAAAAAAAGAACAAAAGTGATAGTCAAATGGCATGCTATTTTAACAGTGAATATGTATTAAATATGACTTTTACTTATATATTTACATGCATTAAAAAAAAAAGCATTCGTTGTTTCTACGATATGTTTACCTATTGTAGTATATAGGTCAAACATGATCAATTTTCTTTCGTCCCAGCAAAAGAATATAATTTGAAGTAGACGAGAAGAAAAATTCAAGAAGATAAACTTCTAGTAGATGAATTAATCCATCTAGTTCTATTCTATTGATTAAACCGTGATGCATCATCAACTATTAGATCAAACAATATAAACAATCAGTGAATATGTCTGACACTTCATTGAATTTGTCCAGTAAGGGTTTGTAAAAGCATGCATTTCTGTACACGTATCGTCGGTAATGCTCTTCATAAAGATATTGTATTATCACCTAGAAAAGGTGCTTATTATATTCAATATAATCTATCTATAAATTCATCTGAACATTTCTTTTTATAATTGTTTATTTATACGTAGGAAGAACACATCAAGATGACCAACGATTACATAATATTTTCTATCGTAAATCAAAACTTGAAAGTGTTAATGAAACATCTGCATTACTTAGTGGATTTGCAATTGTAAGTTAATTTTAAAGAAGAAACACAAGAGCCTACCTTTATGAATATTTATCATAGGTAGCTATTGTTGAATTATCACTTGATGCATATACAAGTCGTAGTACAAGTGATGGTCTTCTTATATGCTATGTAATTGTGTCATGTTTGCTTGTTGGTGTTCATTTACTTGCTTTACTTATGTCAATGTGTATGTTACCTGAAATAAAAAGTGTCATACGTCAAAGTGATGTTTGGCTCAATAATGAAAATAGTCAACCATTGTCATCATTAGATATATATATTGAAATAGCATGGGTTATTTCTACTGGTTTCGGTCTATTTTTATTTATACTGGAACTTGGTCTGATTCTATGGATAAAAGTGAGTGGTTATTCATTTACAGCAGCTATTTCAGCAATTGTAACGCTGTGTATTGTTGGTTGTCCATTTATTTTATTTTCAATTGGTTTCTATATTCGTATTGCAAGAACAAAAATTCATTTACATCAAACAGATTTAGAAATTATCGAACGAGGTGCGATTGCTCGCGGTCTTTTTCGTCATCAGTCCTTACCAATGACGGCGATGACAAATGTTGAAGATATACGTTAAGTATCATGACAGACATATAACAAAAAGAAAATATAAATTATGAAGGATCTGCAACAGTTGGTTTCAGCACTCATTTAACGTTCTGGCATTGATAGAATCAAATATACGTCTAGCACCTCTCTTTTCTACATAGTAAATTTGATATGTCTTTTGATCATTATTATTGCTTAAAGATTCGATGGCATCAATTGATGTCTGAATAAAAAGAAAGAAACAACCTTGGGTAAGAATCTGAGATCAATAAAATAGAAAGTGTTTTTTTATTATATATATTATCTGTTAATTTTGAAGTCAATTTAATTATGTTTCCTTACTTTTTCTATATATACAAAAATTTAGAATAATGTTTTTCACAATTATCCATAAAGTTTTTTTCTCTTGTTATATAACTAATGATTAGTGTATAAAAGTGTCTTTAATAGACGAATATCTAAAGAGTTCACCGGAAAGTCTTCTATGTTTTTTATGCTTATTCGTTTCATTTAATTTGAGTCATACCAATGTTTTATTTATGACTGATTTTTCGGAGCGTGGGATGTACGTCACAATTAATAAAGTCAAAATCGATGAAAAAAATGTTTCAACAGTATTTTATTGAAGCCTTCAAGAAGTTACACCTACTTCAAACAACATCAATATATGATTAAAGAGTAGAAAATGCTACATCGACATAGGAATATTAAAGAGCATCATTACCTACTTTCATACGGACGGAAACAGAAATTTTCAAAAAATAGAAGCGTCATCAATTAAATCAGTCATTAAAAAAATGCGAGTAAGATATTCTAATAATCTATCACATTTACGAGTGTTTTATATGCAATTTTTTGTCTCGATTTTAGAATTAATACAAATGAATGAATGAATGAATACATCTATGTACGTGTGTATTAAAGAAAGAAAGAAAGAAAGAAACAGAATTTGCATTTTTTGTTGTATTGACTCTCAGTGTTTGAGAAACAGAGGAAAAAAGAGAGAGAGAGAGAGCAAAGCAAATGAGAAGGCTTGCGTACGAAAATATGAATCCCTTTGATTGTCTGAAGAAGTATGTACGTGTCCTTGTCACCGATTCTGATGCCTGTTTGCATCCACAAAATGTGGCTAATGGAATGTACGAGCTGTTCGACGACAATGATGACAACAACAAGCAGAACTCGTATTTCGTACTTCTAGGTGCATAGAGATATGCACATACATAAATCCAAAAGTATTTTTCAATCGGCAAACAGGTTGATTCAATAATCATTAACAATCAAATGTCATAGTTCAACATACAAAGACATAATAACGCCTATTGATTTGTTTTCATTTAAAATACTCTAGATTTTGTACCGCAGCTATGTGCAAAACTTTCAAAATATTTTAGCTAAGCGTATTTCAAGATTTTTTTTCTTGAGTGAAGTTTAACAGAAGTAGAGACAACTGAAAACAGCTGTCGATCAAGAAAGTGAGTGACATGGCTCATACGCCTTTATACGTATGTCCCTGGTTAAAATACTTCTGTCTCTTTCTCTTTTTCTCGTATCCTCATTACATAAACTGACTTCCTGTCGCTTCAGTATTAGCCCAGGGTTGTTGTATTATCCAACAGGGTTGCAAATTGGGTACATATACTGTATTATACGAAAGAGAGAGAGAGAGAGAGAGAGAGAGAGAGACGGAATGCTTCGTCCATTGCTCCGTCTTTCTCTGTTGCGCGCGCTTTTTCTCTTACTTCTAACCACAAAAAAAATGTATTATAGTTTTTTTCTTCTTCTTTTCTATACTTTTACCATCTATATAATCGAGACTGGTAGGTTTGGTAGCCTACAACAATTATCATAATTCCCTTCTTTGAGGCACATATATACATATATACACACATACATATATACATACTGAACACATACATAAGTGCATATGCATTACATACATCTATGCGTATATGTATATATTAGGTCTGAAAGAAGGAGGAGTTTATTTAACCTTTTACTCATGGACAATGACGTGGTGCCAGTCGATCTGCTAATTCTCCTCCTCTTTCTACTATTCATATTGTATTTGTAATCGGTTTCATTTTTCTTCCTTTTTTTTCCATCAAGTTTCAATTTTGACGAATGAATGAGTGAATGAAAGAGTAGTCAGAAAAAAAACATACGAGCATAAACAACCGAGAAAACCTGTTCCACATATTGATTGATTAGAAAGCAGACGGCGAGTAGGAAAAAGAAGTGAAAATAAAAAGAAACCACAGTACTAAAAAACAGTATTTTCATTCTGTATATTGTGGTTTTATAAGTCATCGATGATTATCTTCACTCGTGAATGGTGGTCGAATTATTTTTAGATTTATCCAAGCCAAATAAACAAATTTATACTAAGGTAAAAGTTTGCGTTGATCTTTGAATCTTTCATTTATTAGATTCATATCTACCAAAGGCCAATAACACTTGTTTGTATTCATTTACTTGCATGTTATTACATCTAAACTTAGAATTTTTTATTTTAACGCCTAATATTCGAGATCCTATATAATAGAAATAGGGGTAGATAATCCTAATAATTCTTCTTCTGAAACTATTTCAGTTCGTTGTGATACAATAAAGTTCGATACAACTGCTGATAATATTGCGAGGATATATTTTATGGTAAATCCGAATATTATTTGTTTTTGTTGACCAACTCGCGTAATTCCTCAGGGGGAAGACAACGAATAACAGCTTCAGAACTTGTTATTGAAGATAAAACTGTCGGTCGACACTGAATTGAAATTTATCGCTAAATAAACTCTTCGAACGTTACCAATAGTTATCTCCGACTTGATTGCAATAGAAAGAAACGAAATGTTTTCAGTAGCAAAAGAAACAGTCGCATTCATCTGTATCCATTATATATAGTTACGAATCAAGTTTTTTAATTTTATTATTGTTATTTTAGATGTTAATTTATCGCCTTAACAATATGTTCATTCTATAATTGTTGTATTGACTCTTGGCTATTGTATAACGCCGTTGTTGACATGCGAATATCGGATCGCCATGGTTGATTTGGACCATGTTTGGCAACTTTATAAGTCAACAATTCGTCGCTATTCGACATTTATTCTTTTTTCTTTTCTTCCATTTAACATTCCTAAAAACAATTTCATCATCTAATATGGTGCAATCACCATTTTACATACATTATGTTCACCGACATCCTCATCACCCTTCACCCTCATTCGTATCTGCAATAACAGATACGACCTTCTTAGAATCCCTTCTTGAACGTTCACGTGCTCAACGTGATACATATGATGAACGACAAAAACTTGTATCAACTTATAAAATCATATCTAAAACTCAGTGTTTATTACAAATGCGCTCCATGGATGGTTATGTTGATGCTAAACATGTGACAAATCTTGATGATACAAAAGAAACAAAAGATGGTAAGAATCACTCGATAGATAATATATTATTATTGAGACTATACAAGGACATAGATCAGTAAAAGGCCGTGAAGTATACATTTGTACACACACGAAAGGATAATGTGTATAATTGCGTCAATTTACACATAGACACTCTGCGGGTGTGATAGCGACCTTGGTTTTTTCTCTTCATATCTGTGGATGAAACAAAGCGAGGTACTAATTGCTCTCGATCTTTGTCACACAAGAAAGACACTTGTTGAATGACTTAATAACGGAGAATTTTGTCTTGTCATCGTCTATTAACTATCTATTATCGTTTAGTTATGTTTTGAAGGATAATTTAATATATTCTTTTTTTTATTATTCCCAATCATTCAGTACACATTCATAGTCGAAAGTATGTGAATTTAATTAGCTTAGGTATTCATTAACTTCATTTCGAATGAATATTGAATTATTGAGATGAAATGAAGAATTTTTAAATTCCAAAAAGGAATCATGTAACATCGCTGATCAAGAATATATATATATATATATATATATATATATTTCTTATCAGATCTCGATGTGGACTAGTTCCGATTTCTAAAGAAGAACAATAATGGTTGAATTGTTGCATAATTGATTCGAGTAATCTTTATGCAAAATCAGGATAAAAGTAAACATATACTATTCTCTGTTTCTGTCATTTTCTGTCTCATTGGTGATCATATAAATTGATTGGCAACGAGCACGTCTTTCATAAGTCAGCATAGAATAATTATTTCTTTTCTCTTCTTCTCCATTTACTATTATTACTTAAACTACTGTAGTTGATATGTTCCATCATAATATATATATATCATTCTTTCATTTCATTTTTGATAATCATTGTCATGTTGTCATTTATCGTGTGTTGCTTTCTTGTGGCTGGAATCTATGTTAGTACATTAGTTTCTCTTTTTCTTGCTTCGAAACACCTCATCAATCATATAGCAAACGGTAAAAGCAGCTGATCTAAGTCGCCGTCTGAAACTTGTCGACACTCTCATTAACCCGCCTACATATTCAATGTATATTAGTTGTCAGTAATCTCCAGGGTTACTTCCAATTGTCGTCTGTATCTATGTGGATATTTGCATAGGTTCGGCGTCGCTTTTTGCAGATGATAAATTGCATCAATGATGATTGTTTACAGATTGTTGATGGGCGATTCTTACTACCTAATGCAAACATAACTATATCAGAATAGAATAACACATAGCCTATACTTCTCTGGAAAGTATCATTCAAAGAAAACAGAAATATGATTCAGTAGAAATGACACTTTTATTTTTCTTTCCTGAAAAGACAGCGAAATAATGATGATAGCACTAATTAAAAATTATTTTTCTTAACTTGATGTTATAAATATAATAAGAAAAAAAGTAGTAGAAATATGAAAATCTCTTATTTATAGGTGTCTTTGTGTTTCTTCCAATTGCAGTCAATCTTTTTCTAATACAACATAAAGAAAGTAAACGCTATCTTTGTGGTAAAAATAATCAATTATTTGGCCTTGTAAGTAAAACAAAAATGAATAAATAAGAAAAAATACTATTTTCTCTCTCTCTCTCTCTCTCATTGTTATTATAGACGGAACGCAACGAGAGTCAATGTGTATTTGAAACAAAACGTTCTGATATTGACTTTGGTCGTTGGGACTCTTATCGTCTTTTCTATGAAGACCCAAATCGTGGTTATTTATCCATTTCACACATGTGCCATACAAGATTAAGGCGTAAATTTGATAATGATAACTATTTAAACTTTCTTGCTTTTGTTCGCATTAATACTGACATATCTTTGGAAACGGCTGCTGCACGTCGTATTGTTGATCAACAAGATGAATCTCATAGACAAAAGGCGAAAAATGTGAATTCAACAAACAATAAGTCACCCAAATTGATAAGTGACTATCGACAACGTTTTCGATTCTCTCTATCAACAACCCTGACCACCACCACCACCACCACCACAAGTACAACTATTTCAACAACAACAACTACTCCGACGACAACCACAACAACAATTTCTATGTTTAGACCAATACGAAGATTAACTTTTTCTCCTACACCTGAACCATTCAAATCTGTAATTGTTCATGTTTATAGTCCAGCAAATAACTTAAATGTACCAGTAACAACAAGAAGGTGGGGTTTAAGACGAACTCGTCGCTCATAGTTTTGCGCTTCATTTGTCAGATTTATTTTTCATCTATGATGTATGAGCATAAGTATACCATCAATGTATTAGTCGATGACATACTCAAATTCGACAAATTGTTTCGGTAGACAATTGCTGTTGCCGTTTTATATTGTAAGTCTCAATGGGGTTGTACCAAAGCGAATTATATTTCTTTCTTTTTCTTGTTTTTTTGTTCTTTTCTCATTCTCTAGTCTTTTCTTTTTCTTTTTACAAATAACTTTGTATTCTTGTTGTTTTTATTTCTTTCGGAATTTTTTCATTTTGTTCATTAAAAAGAAATATATATTTACATATAGACTAAATAGATCAAATAAATCATCTGAATTTTTATATTTTATCGGCGCTTTTTCCATGTACTATTCGATGTTACCTTAGATTTAATATCAAGAACAAGGTCACCTTTTTGTTTATGAATAAAATTATAGAGTAATGATGCCTGCTTCGAATTTCCCATGATTGTCGTTAATTGATTTTCACTCAATTGACTCAATACTCGTAAATTCTCAACATTATTCATTATTAACTTATAATTTTTAAATGTTACACCGGGCATACGGATTAAGAAATCCTGAAACATACGAATGAAAGTTTTGTAAAAATTATATTATAAAAAAAAAAAATCAATACTACCTGTGCAACTGTATTATAACGTTCATCATCATCAAGTAAATCTGATTCAGCCGTGACTAACATAGCACTTTTAGTATCGGGTTCTTCTCGATCTCTCTAGAAAAACAATAGACGATTTATTCATAAAACTTGATGAGAAATTAATTTTATTATACTTTAAGATCTTCAAATAATTCTGCGCTAGTATGCGGTGATGGGCACCATAAAATTTTCAATTTCGGAAAATGCATAGTTAATAGAGCTAATTTTGATGTTATATCATGTGAACTGAATTCTGATGATGAATTATATCGTTGTTTATTCTATGAGGGAAACAAATAAACGAGAAATAACTTCAATAAAAGTTTTTCCGTAAAACAATCTCACAGCAAGATGAAATGCTTGTTTTTGATCAAATTCAATAAGTAACATTGGTTTTTTATAAAATCTTGTCATTTGCAATGCTTGTTGATATAAACGACCGTTATTTAATGAACCAATTAAATCCGAAACACTTTTTCTTTCAATACATATTTCAGGTGTTAAAATATAATCTCCAACTTCAAGTGTCACTGGTTCTATATCGATACCACGTTTCCATATTAATGATGGAAGCTCACTACGAAATTCACGCATATCAACAATAATCTTAATAGAAGAGAAAAAAAGAAGATTTTATTTTATGGTATTTTTCAAAATACTTTTGGACGATTAATCGAAATTGTTGTCATATGCATTATACCACCACGTCTTGTATCACTTTGATCAATAGTAGAAGTTGCCCCAGCTCCATAGGCTTGTTGATTAGCTGGAGTTGCATCGCGACTTAATAATGGATTGTATTCATCACGTCCTTCACGTTCTTCCGGTATTACCATAGACTAAAAAAATGAAATTCGACGTCGGTTGGTTTTTTTGTCTTCCTATTAGGAAACGAATCTGTATTTTGATCATACCGCTTTTTCTCGAACAAGGTTTTCAAAAGCTTCTTTTTCTTTCTTTACACTCAATAAATATCGTTGTTCTTCAATTGATTTTCCATAAAGAAGAAAGTAAATACGTAATGGATGTTCAGGATTTGTTGCTTTGAAAACCTTTATAAACAAAAGTAAAACTATCAAAACAATTCGAAGCCCTTTTCTTTTCTTTTCTTTACTTCAAGTTGTCGAACAAATGTTAATGATGCATCATATAGTATAATAAAACGTGGACGATATTTAAGTAAAATCTTTCCCAATATAAAATGGTTATCTATATTTCCACTAAATGGATAGACAATTGTTGTAGATGGACTTGTTGATCCGTCATCATCTTCAATAACATAGCCGCCCTCAATCTAACAACTTTTTAAGTATGAAAACCAAAACGCAATTGACATAAATTTTACCCCTTCTATGTCTGGTTTTTTGTCGATATTAGCACTGTCATTTGATATTTCTTCATTGGTGTCAGTTGTTGTTCGTATTTTCTTTCCTTTCTTTTCCTAGACAATATATTAGGATCTTTAAGACGTGTTAATGTCAAATTTACGATTCAGCTTAATGTTGGATTGACACAGGCAAATGTCAAAACCTGGAATGTCCGTACATCAATACGACATGAGAGCGTAATTTCATCAACTAGGATACTAACAAAGATATTTAGTTTGATGTATAAGTACATGTCAATATGGTCTGTTGTAGAATTTTTCAGAATAACAATACTCCATATTGCTATTCAAAAATTAAAGCTTTCATTGTTTATTACTACTACTTGAGAAAAATGTTTTTCCATTCTTTCTTTATTATTATCAAAGATTTCTTTCTTTTTTTATCAATATACTAAGTTTATTTCGTATTAAAATTTTACCGTTGTTTGTTTTGTTTCACTTTCTTTACTTGTTTCATTTACTGTTGATGCATTGAGAGTTTGTTCTAGTAAACGTTCAAGCATAATTCGTCCACCTAACAAAAGATACTATAAAAATCAATAAAATACGAGATTATACAGGAAATTTTCTAATAAATCCAAACCTGTTTCAATTGTGAACATGTTCGGTCTTCTGCACATACAACTAATGTCACAGGAGGCCCTAATAATTTGTTATCTTCATTCTCTCGAATTTCTTGAAGCACATCAGAGACAAGTTTTAATTTTGGATTTTCTTCGAGTTTTGCTACTGGTTCTTCATCGTCTTTTACTTGTTGAATTTGGTTTTTAGCTACTTCACCAAATACTCGACATTTTGATGCCTGAATATAAATCATCCATGAAATTCTCTTTTATATCAGAAGATATTTAATTACCATTAATAATCGTTCAGCAGCTGGTAAATATAACCAACTACCTGTTGATCCTTGTGGCGAATGAATATTTTTTCCACGAGAACCATATAATTTTTCATTAATAAAAATAGCTTGTACAGCATTATAAAATGTTACACAATCATATTGCGTTAAATGAAGAACAAATAGTCTTAGAGTTTTTATATCATTTATTAGTTGTTTTGTTCTTATACTAATTTGATTCCATATCGGTTGTAATTGCAAACGTATTAAACGATCAAATGAATTTAATATTGATTGATCAACAGTTAATAAATCGTGATCAATCCATGTTGTCGATGAACGAAGTTCTTGTAGGCATGCACTGATTAATTCCATTAATGATACTTGAATATCAGTCATTAATAGTGTTAGTGGTACTTGTAATTCAATGACATCAGGTGAACAATGTTCAAATGTTGAACGAACTGTTACGTGAAATCTTGGATATAAAAATGCATGTCGAAGAAATAAATTTTTCATTACACAATCTAATTGATTATAACCACGAGTAAAATCTAATGATGAATCACTAAAACCTTTTATAAACCCAGTTTTATTCTTATCACGATATAACCGAACTATAAATGATTCAGACGATGAATCGGCTATTCGATGAGCACGATATACTAATAAACCAGTTATTAAATCAATTGGAATACGATTAGTTAATAAATCCACTGTTAAAATACTTAAAAAGAAAGAAAAAATGATTTGATAATGTTTTTCTTAAATTATTGCTTTAAAATAATAACCGTGCAGTAACAAAGAAAAGTCCACCTTGAATATACAGCTCTTTTCGCTCTTGAATCGATATATCTGCAGTAATAACACGTGGTGGTGGATCTATGCCATCACTAATAAGTTGTTCAGTAAAATAGTTCTGTTCAGCATCTGTACAACCCAAGATAAAAACAAGATTATGTTCAGCACAATATAATTTCATCATTTCACAAAATATTCGTTCCAAACCAAGACCTCTAGATATTTCGATAGATGACACAATATTCATATCAACAGATTATCTATTTTAATTATTTTTACCTAGCCAATATAAGTAATCCATCCTCATGATACAATTGTAGAATAATTTCATTTTCATATTGAAGTATTCCACTACTATTCATTAACTTGTCTTCAATACTCATGTTCTTTTCGTTTTTCTCTGAAAAAAATGATTTTTATTGAGAATTTCTTATGAATGATACTTTTATCATTTTTTTTTAAATATTTTTCAAAATATTTAAGAAAAATAAGAAAACAGAAATTATAACTGACATATAGTGATTGCACTCTTTTTGGATGCATGAACATAAGTCTAACAAATAAAAGCAGTATCGGAGGGAAAATAGCAGACACGAATAGAAATCACTTTTTTGTTTTATATTGCCGATTGTTCAGTTTTATGTCGTATCATTTTCACATTTTTCTTTTTTATATGAGCAACAGCAGATTTAATTAATGCTTCATTGTAGGTAACTCGAATAAGTGTAAATAATTTATTTTTGCGAGTTTCGATCATTGTATATTGCAGATTTGAAAGACCATCAACTGAACGCATTGCAATACTTAAACCCAAAATTTTATATCTAACAATAGAAATTTAAGAAAACAAAAATTTTATATGACAATAAAAATAGATATTCTAGTAACCTAGATTGATTTGGTGTATCTGGTTGATGTCGTAACATTTTATAACGAGCAATTGATGCTGGATAACGAGATATTCGATATTTAGTTAATATTCTAGCAGCCATATCTATTAAAATATGTCTCATAAGTTAGTTCTTTTTTTTCCGTTAAATTTGAAATGAATATATCTCACCATCATCTTCACCACCCCATCCGAAATATTGATTGGAAAATCCATTAACAGATTTAAATTGTTCAATCGTTAAAGCTGAAACACCACCAAAAATTGTTCGATAAGGAAGTCTAAATAAAATATTCTAAAATCTTGAAATTTTCAATTATATCAATATTAACGGACTCATAATTTAATGTATTCACAGCAACTGACATGTGACGTGGTTCTGGTGGACATGAATAAATATTTCTATCATCCTCCGGTATTAAATCTACATCGTGAAAAATAAAACATTCCCATGCATAATGTTTCATTGCTTCATTAAAACCAATATTAAATAAAAGTGCACGATTAAATGTTATATCATCTACCTTGAAAAAAAAAGATAAGAGATTATAATTAGTCATTTTAAGTTTTCTCATCTTTACTTACTGGTTCAATAAGAAAAATTTGATAATCAATTTGCTGTTTTTGTAAGAATAGATGCATAAAATTAAGAAATATACGTAATTGCATATCTCGATTGCGATATGGAATAATAATTGCGACTCGATAACGAGATGTACAATGAGAAGGCGACCAATGACCACCAACTTGAACACTAGAATTTTCGTGATGTTTTTCGATTTCTTGCATTTCATATGAGAACAAATCGGCTTCAACACGACCCACTGAAGAAAAATAAATGCTATCAATGAAGTATCAAAATAATGTTTTCAATATTGCAAGTTTTACTTCGATGTAATGAATACCATATGAATATTTCGCTAGTCTAGTGTCATTTAAGGAAAGAAATTTAAAAAAAAAACGTTTTGTTATTGAATCGTCACCCAGCTTTTGTGAATTCGTTAGAAAAGTATTAGCTGTCTATTTTTAGTTTTCATTGACATGCTGTAAAATTACCTAAATTCGTTGGTAAAATTGAACATTGAACAATTGTTTCTTGTTGATCGATATCTGTTACATATGAAACATTAAGTGATTCAAGCTTTCCTTTAGTAGGAGATAGATCAATTTTTTGTTGAATTTTTGAATTTCTATAATTCTTATTCAAGTGTGATCGATCAGTTTTTTCAATTAGATTAGCTGGAAGACGATCAGATGCTAATATTATAGTTAATGGATTATTTTTTAAATCATCATAAGAGGCATTACTTTGGTACTGTATAAAAGTATAAGTTGAAAATAAAATAATATGTGTAAAAAAAAGTAAAATTAACAATGGGCGACGTTTACAACGATTGCACATGATGAAGAAAACTATTTTAATTGATTTGTTAATGACAACATTTTCCTATCGACATGACATATGTATATCACAAAATAGTGTTCATCTAATAAAAATCAATATTAAGTTTAATGGAGAGAGAAAAACAGAGAAGAAAAAAATGCTTTTTTAAATTTTTTTATTAGAACTGATCTTTTTTCTTTTTCTTCAATGAATATCAATCGACAAATAAACAGACAAACGATCACGCAAAGAGCACAGTATTGAACACCGTCAAAAGAAAATAATCCATACAGACAACTACAAGTATATATTTACACAGAAAAAGAAAAGCGCAGACAAATGTTTCAGTTAGTCACAGGAAAGGAAAAAATCGTGTTTATCCATCTGCTTTCGGTGCTGTATACCATCCACTTTTTTCATGTACACTCGATATATGACGGAACGCTTGTTGTGCACGTTGAAGTGAAAATGATTCGTTCAATGAACTTAAATCAATACGTGCACCTGCTTTACACAAAGTTGCTACTATTTGAAACAGTAACGATTCAACACTATAAGCAGATGACCAACCTTGTCGAGTTAATAATTCCATACCTAATATATATATATATATACATTTATTTATTTATTTAAATTATACAGTAGAGAAAAACAAAATACAAATGCTTATATATGCACTTACAAATCGCTCCTGAATATACATGCCCACCAGTAATTATAGGTCGAATCACACGTACCTGAAAAGAAAGAAAAAAATAATAATAATAACATTTTTTTGCTTGAAATTCGTTGTTTTAATTATAGGCTTTGATATGATTGTTTTACATACGAATGGTGGTGCAAACGGATAGGTATCATTGAATGTTAAACTCAGTAATATATGATCTAGTTTATCGATATTTTTTTCTGATAGCTTCATTTGTTCAAGATCCACATATAGTTTGCTATCTTTATCAACATGATATAGCTAAAAAAATAAGTTCAATTTCTTATATGAAAAAAAATCATCAGATAATCTCTTACTTTGACATTCCATTCATAGAGACTTTCATCTACAAGTTCAATAATATAATCTCCATTTTTATATGACTGCGAACGAAATATATCCCGTAATTCTTTCATTAAACGATCAGTTGCTTGTACAGATGATGATGATGACATTGACGATGATGATAAAGATGAAGCTGCATCTTTTCTTACTGGTTGATTATTGTTTTTATTTGTATAGATTTTTTCATGATTCTTTTGTGCTGATTCATTTATTCTTTTATATTTCAATGTTTCAAGTAGTTGCCAATTTTCTAAAGATATTCCATCGATATCTTTAGTTAATTGCCCAGTTTGCTGAGCTTTATTATTATCATCATCATCAAGAGAACATTGGTCTTGTTCATGATGATGCTGTTGTTGTTGTTCAGTTTCATCGTCATCGTCATCATCTTCTTCTTCTTGATCAACACCTGAATCTTCAGGTTCTACACGATTTTCTGTAGTAGTTATTAAGTGACTTGGTAGCGATAAATTAGATGTATTGAAAAATGTATTTAAACGTTCAATGACAAATTCAAGTTGTAATGTCACACTGCGAGTTTCATTCGATGTATTTGAATTTAACTCATCAAATATGGATGTTAATTGTTCTTGTACATCATCATTATTATCACTTTCTGTATACCATAAACATTTGTTTGGTACTTCGATAATTTTACACTGAAATAGTTAAAAAAAAGAGAAAGAACTTTTGTTTTTTAAAATCGCTTTGTCCAATCATGAAATATTTACACAGATGGAAATTGATCGTTGATTAATAGGATCACGATAAATACTTGTTATGTCATCTACACTTGAGCTTACAATTGAAAATGGTGCATTTGTTCGTTTCGGGAAATATTGTTCAAGTACACGTAATTCTTCTTTCAATGCTTGTAGTGAACGCATTATTATTTAAAGAAATCTACAAAGAGCAATAGAGATGTGTTTTGTTTTTATACTTCGTCATTTACCTACGAATCAGGCGGCGGACGAAAGAATAAATAATGAACAAGTACGAAGGGAAGAAAATCCCTGAATCAATGTCAATTATGTACAAAACGAAGAGAAAGAAACAATTTTTCTCATTGGTGAATATGATCGATGCAATCAGATCATTTCTGAAACCATCTATTTTTATTTCAACTATTGTTTGAAAATTCACAAAGACTTTTGTTATTTGAAATATTTTTATTTAGTTTTGTATATTTCGGAAAGGTTATCATATAAAATATGATTGGTGACATCAATAACCAATTGATAATTGATATGCACGCGATTACTATCATAAGTTTACGTCAGCTGATTGATCATTTTTGTGCAAATAGTTTTTGTGTCGTTTATTATTGATGAAGTAAATAGATAAAAGTCACTTACTTTTTAAAGACTTGTTGTTTTCATACGATGAAATCATAAGCTAATCTAAAAATTCTATTGATAACACAATCGTCAAGTGCATGACTCAAAATGCAGAAACATCTTTCAAGATAATAAGATGCTTTCTAGTTATATATTGCTGATAAATTTCCCTTTTCCTATCCATTTAGTTTTTAGATTCTTTTATAGTTTCCCATGCCGTGGCAATCGTTCATTCCTTGGTCGAATTCCTTAAAAACACGTGCTTGTCGTCAATTAATACATCATTATTTAGGTGTATTTTTCCAAGAGAAACTTTCACTAGATCAATTATCTGTTGATCTGTTCTCGGGACGTAGTCAAGTTAAAGATGTTATTCTAAATTTAAACGTAAAGATCATCTGAGAAATCAATTTTCTTTACTAATATTTTCTACTTAATATTTTTCTAGGCTTTGAATGAATCATTAACGAATAATAATATTCCACTTGAAATAGTTAAAGCATATGTTGGAGAAATCAATTTGTCAATACCATGGACATCGTTGCTGCGTGACAATTCTACATTAGACATTAAAGATTTAGAGATAACTATACGACCAAAACAGACTAATGATCAAAGTAAAATAAATTGTATTTGAATATTTTTATTATGAATCTTAAGTGTTTATTTTTCTTTTGAAGAATTAACGGATGCTGGTTTTGAATTATCTACTATGTTTAACAGTATGAATACGAGTATGCTTATTGCACAAGAATGTTTAAAAAATGAAACCGAAGAAGATACGACGTATCAAGGCTTGGAAACATTCGCAGCAACTATCGATTCTAGTAAGAAAAATATTATATCTATTAAATCTTGTATTTGCCATCGACGCAAAATATAAGTTTTTCGGCAATGCAATTTATGTTCGTAGTTGAGAATTGAGATAGAGATTTGATTTTTCAGCATTGAATATTTAGAACGTCTAAATGTATTACTCTTTTTTTATAAGAAATTTCAATGTAACACGCAATTAAAACTTGAATTAACAACGAATTGTAAGTTTGTGATGTTAATTAGACTTAGATCTAATTTAGGAATGGTGTACCTTTCGTAACTTACGATTTTCATAATATACACAAGCATTCAACTAACTACATATTCTAAAGCTTGTTTTGATCTTTCAATATTTATTAATTTAAATTCCATAAAGGATGTAGATAAATCGTATCTGTTACTATCATCATTGATGCTTTTGAACAAAGGAGAAAAACACTTCTGATAATATCCTAAATGAGAAACAATATATTATTTGATGCAAGTATTAATAACAAAATTACTTCTAATAAAATGAATAGTGTTAAAGAATCAGAGAGTGTTGTAATGACTAGAACTCTATATTGTTCTCTTATTGTATTTGGCGAGTTATAGAAAATGCTGCGACAAATATAGTTCTTTTTATCTTTCGATAAAGAATTAAAATTCTGAAAATTTTAACTATTTGCATAGATCGTTTAATTACATTCATGGATTATTGTACTTAAGTAAAAGTAGTTCATAATAAAATTCTCGAACTATGTAAGCATATATATATTCACTTTAACATAGAAATGCAACATTTTTGGTAATTGCTTCTTGTTAATACGAAATATTCTTCTATTGTATGTTGATTTAATTTTTTTTTCATTTTAGTCCTTGCTCGTGTTCGAGTAACACTAACAGACACTGTTATTCGCTTAGAACACCTTATTAATGATGGCGAGAATGGTGTTGCACTTGAAATTCGCATCAAAAAGTAAATCAATACGTATGATCAATGAAAAATTTCTATATGCTTTATTTTATTTAGATTCGAATATTTTGACAGTGAAGCAACAAGTATTGATATGACAGTGGCACTCGATTCAAATGCTTTAATACGTCCAACTGTATTTACTAATAAAAATTTTGTATTAAGTGGTGTAACACTTTATACAGATGAGTTTTCTATATTTAAAAATTCTTCGAGTATGACTGAGTCATCCGTACTCAATTTATCAAACCGTTTGATAGCTGTAAGAAATCAATTTGATATAATGAAGAAAAATGATTTTTTTTTCTTCTGCATTTATCTTTTCAGGATAGTATGATGACAAGTGTCTTAACAAATAGTTCATCAGGAATGATGACAACAACTACCGGTGGAAATACTCGAATGGTTGGATATGAAACTTTTGATCCAATCTTATGTTTAACTATATCCGGTAAACAAGATATTCGCCTTAAACTGAAACAATCAGAACAAATATTTGGACCAAAAGTAAAAGAAACTTTTAACTTTAAAGATTTTTCTAAGTTATTTAAATTAGGTGGAAATTGAAGCAGGTTGTGGCTCAGTAAATTGTTTATTAACACCGAAGCAATTGCAATCATTAACTATTCTATTGGCAGCATATCAAAAAGCTGGTAAAAATCAAGAAATTGTTTTCGAAGAAAAATCTCTATAAATCTTATGACGTCTGAAAAAACAATTTATTTGAAACTTCCAAATACAATAGATTTCAATATCTCATGAAAACTTTTCCATCGATTTTAAATTTCTAATTATTTCTCAATAGAACATGATGATCTCAAGATACTCATTCTTATGGTTTATTTTCTCAACTAAAACCCATCGAATAGAAGTGATTGTTATTTGTACATATTACAGATAATATTTTTAAAATTTAAGTTACTCTTGATTTCTGTTCATTATTTTGAAAAGCAGAAATCAAGTTTGCCAATATGACCCAACACAGATTCTAGTGATTACTGATTATTTTCGATATAAATAGCAAAACCAAAAGATCTACTCAATAGATAGAAAAAAGGAATTTCTGGCGTCTATGAAGTAGAAGTTTTTTAAATTTTGTGCTCGAAAGAAGGAATAGTTACTGTTCAAATTCAGCTAAAGATCTACAGTTATACATTATTTTTATTTCTATAGCACTTCATTCAACAAGTGATCCTGCTTTATACAATACATCCTATGGAAATACTCGTCGAATGACGGAAGATGATTTTAAACGTATAGAACAAAATGCAGCAGAAGAAATTCGCAGAAAAAACTGTCAAATGAGCGCACAACAATACGATGATGATAATTATCATTATGCCGATCTTGATAATACGGCAGGTATGAAAAAAAGAAAATAATAGTTATAGAAGAAAACAAATTCGTTTTTTAGATCCCTCTGAATCAATGTTTTGTTCAGTTGAAGGAATGTCGCTTAGTAATGATCTTACATCATCATACACAAGTAGTCGGCCTGATTCGATATCAACTACAAGTAGAATTTAATGTTGTCTTAAGTTTTAATCACATGAATTGTTTTAGGTCATCGTTATCGTCGATCATCATCACATCAGCATTCATCATCAAATCAACCGACAACTGATAAAACACGTTTAAAAGGTATGCGGAGAAATTCATGTTTTTCTTTTTCAATATATAAAGTGATGAATTTTTATAGAACAAGCAAAACGTCTATTTGAGCAAGGTCGATCAATAATTAGTATGAAATGCCGCTTTCAATTTAATTTTATCTCATTATGTTTACTTCATCGTGATATTCAAACGAGTTCAACATCGTTGCGAGAATTTTCCGATGCATATTTTTCAAATATATCAACAATAAATACATCAGGAATACTTGATGATAGACAAATAAATGAGTATAGATTAAAATATTCACAAGCTTGTTTCAACGATCATTTATTGTATGTTTTCAATTCATGTTTCTTCGTGTCATTCCTATATCAATACTTCTTACGTGTTTAGACTTCTTGGAAAACCACTAATCATTGATTTCAGTCAACAATCAGCAGAAAATTGTCTTTCCTTAGAGTTGGATATACGTCTCAGTTCGGCTGATTTATGTGAATGTTTACGTCCAGAAAATACGAATATAAAACCAAACACTATGAATGACACTAAACAAATGATATTTAATCGAGTAAGTATCAAGAACAAAAATTCGAACTGTAAATTTCTTTTATAATCTTTCTTCTTTTGTATTACTTTTTTCATGAACTTTTTTTCTTCCATGTGCAAAAAACCTTATGGATACTTCGATATCATATTCTTAAGGAAATTATGCATAAGAATTAATGCTAATCAAAAATTCATATGAAAAATTTACCTATCCGAATGATCGTTTTATTCTATGTAATAGACCCTAATACTATCAAAAGATCAAGTTTGTCTTCATTGAGTGATACTTATTAATAATTTAGAGTTCGAATAAAAATACTTCTCATTCACAAAAACTTTGTCTGAGAAAAGGAAACTGAAAATTTTCAATAAGATTTCATCTACTATGAGCATATTTTGTACTAGAAGTTGAACTGATCTAATTCTATCATTGCTCTGAATTCTAAACATGTGTAAAAAAGAACCTAAATAATAAACTATATGATCTTCATTTTTATCTCTTTTATAGTTATTGTCATTTATTCGATCAAATGAAACAAATTTTGATTCACTGTCATCATTTCAAGTGCCGTATAACAGTGTTCAACCATCAATTCAAGTTTCTATAATGAATTTTGATATTAATCAAAATAAAGTATTATTTTGTAAATTTAATATTTCAAACTTTAATTATTTTCCGTTATAGAAGAAAAAGTCTTCCAATGCCTTTACTCGTAATCTTGCTGCGTTAAGACCATTTACTGATGTTAATATTCGTCTGGGATCATGTCAGATTGACTTTGATATATCAATTATTGATCGAATTTATTCATCGATAAACGCTTGTCAAGCATATGTAAGTTAAACTGATTATATTTGTAAAAAAAAATCATTGACCTGCTTTTTACTTTAAGAATTCTCCATCGACAAACAATAATGCAAATGATTCAGTTTCAATGCTAACAGTTAGCTCTCCTAATTGTATTCTTAATTTAAGGTATAATAAAAAAATGTCTATTGAATTTATTAATCTTTTCTAATTTGTTTTCAAAATTTTCTAGATTTCCAATAGCTGATTTACAACCATTAAATAAACGTCGACCATGGTGGATTCAATGTGTTCAAAAAGAAATATTAGTATTTGATTTAAAACAAGTTCAATTTCAATCGAATTTCGACAATAATGAATCAACAACATTAACAACAACCAGTGACTCGATTCAAGGTAAATTAATTATCTACGATAGAATTTCTTTTTTCAAACTTTTTCTGTTTATTTAGTTTACTATATGAATAATAGCGATGCTGAACGATCACAAATTGCACAATTATCATCAAGTAATGGCAAAGTAATTAAGTAAGAAATAAAAATGAATCAAATTCATGTTCATTTCGATTTCTTTTTTTTGTTTTATAAAGAATAACCGTCAATATAAATGATCTAAAAGATTTTGCAATGAATCAATTAAATAATAATCCGATGACCGATACCTTATTCGACTCAGTTTTTTGTCGTTTACCAACAAATGATAAGAAACTACCATTAAAAAATAAAAATACATTAAATGATAATCGTCAAGTACTTGAAGTTGCTGATGCCGAAACCATTCATGAATTCATCACATCCTGTAGTGAAGAAACAAAATTATATCTACATATAAGTATTCCCTATGTATTCATTTATGTACCTGATCAAGTATTTCTTGATACCATCTATAATCGGTAAAGAACGTTTCTTTTATTCTCATACTAAGACTTTCTTCTAATCGGAATATCATCATATTTTCTTGTTTCTGTTTAGCTTTGTAAATAACTTATTGATGTGGGAACGTTCGGTACCTGTAAACAATGATATTCCTGCTCATATGTTTGTAACAGCAAATAATTTCAATAACCAATTAACTAATTCCTATCGATACACATCACCAGAGCAACTTGATCAAACATTTCAAACATGTCAATCAATTAATAGACGCTATACTAGTCAGTCATTTGATAATGATCAAATTTTGTCCGACGACGATGATGATACTGATGAAGGAGGACTAACACCGAAAGTATCAAAGAAAAAAGGACCCAATGAACTTTTCATGCGATTTGATGTACAAGATATTCACCTAGCATTGAATGCGCCTATGGTAAGAAATCAATAAACTTTTTGTATGGATTATCATTCAAGTAACTAGAATTTACGATCATTTACCGATAGCTATTCAGAATATTTGAGATTTAATTTCGGTCTTATCAGTATTGATTTGACCCCGAATACTTCTATTCCATTTCTATCGGTAAATCTTGAGATAGAAATAAATTTAAAAAATAAAATATACCATTCCAATTACTTGTTCGAATTTGCTTTTATATCTTTTGACATCTATTAGAAAGCTAATTTTACGTTATAATACATGTAGGAAAATCAAATTCAGTAAAAAGTTTCATTTACTGAATTATCCTATAGAACAATTCGAAAATTCCGAATATGAGAAATACGATTTTCTAAATTTTCATTTCAACCATGATTTGTATGATTAGGGTGACAAAACTTTAAAAGAATCTCGTACATCTAATTCGAATATTGGCGAATTTCGAATTGATGCTCAAGGTTTAACACTTGCATTTGTCGATGGTTATCAAGGTGATGTAAATCTTCAATATTTTTGTTTTCTAAGTCAATCAGCATTACTCTTTCATAATGGTAATAAAAACCGACCAGATTTACGTGTTTTCTTTTAATTAAACTATTTTCTTTTTGCAATTAAGGACATGGAACAGTTATGAAATCGAATACGTCTTTAAAAGAAGTTCTTAGTCGATCATTACCAGAATTAATAACACGTTTACCATCGGATGCATTTCCAAAATATAATAACAATGGAACGATGGTTCGTGCTGCTTACGAAATTCGTACAACTGGCGATCGAGCTGATGGTAAACAAAAAATAATTCGTGGCTCATTGACAATTGAAGGTGCTATGCTTCATCAAAGAATAGTACCAAAAACTGAAAGCTGGCTTTTACAAGTAAATATGTTTTTCAAAAATATCAACACGTTGTTTTCTCTGTAAAATATTTCACTTGTTCAAATTAGAATCAAAGTACAGGCAACTCCTAAACAAAAATTTGATGATACCTCTCCATTTGTTCTTTCTTAACGACAGTTACAAGCTCTTAATGATGATGTAAAAGAAACCTATTTTTCATTCTTGTAGAAGAGTACACACTCGGTCGAAAAAATTATTAACTAGAAAAACTCTTTAGTCCAACATCATTCGTTTTTTCTATTTATTTTTAGCTTATTGAATTATTTGATTTGGTTGATGAAGATATTCCTGGTTATATACCAACAACTGCTCTTGTTGAATGGCATTTAGAATTTCGTCATTGTGCTATTCATTATCGGTATAGATTTATCTTTGTAAAATTTATTTTAATGAAATATTTTTCTATAGTCCATTATATTTTGATTCGAAATGTTTTGTTGCTATTGACTCATTAACATTAACGAATACATTTGTTAAGAACAGCAAAACAACATTACTTGAGTAAGATATTATTAATTGCACGTTAAAACGAAAAATTTCTTTCTTTTATTCTATTAGACTCAATTTGGATGATTGGGCAATTTATTTATCGAAACAAAAACATGATCGATATAAAATTGATTTACTAAATGATTATATTTGTATTATTAGTGGTGGTGCGTTTGAGATAAAGTTATGTTTTAATGAACCAGTTGAAAATACAGCGATGGTAAAAGTCCTCGTTTTCTATATGAAAATTATTTGTCTTATTGTTTGAATTTTAGATGGATCCATTAGTTGATATACGTATTGCATGTAATATGATACATATTCGATCGTGTTCGGATTCAGCAAATGCTTTGATTGAATTATTAAAATATGTTATAACCGACGGTGATCTTCAACAGCCGACGAATGAAATACGTCGCAGTAGTACACCAGTTGAAAGAAAAAGAAATGATCGGCCAGTTCGATTATTAAACGACGATACAATCAATAATGAACAATTAACAATTGATGATGTGAGAAGCATTATATTCCATAGATTTGTTTGCATTTTTTATCATTCAAATGTTTAGACATCAAATCAAATGCTATTAATTGAAGATGCCATGAAACCAATAGGTTAGAAACAAGAAATTTGTCTTCATATTTTTATATAGACTAATTTTCTTTTATTTAAGGTTCATTAGATCGATCTGTTATTCAGTCTGAAGATGATGGAAATGTTCTCTCCAATAGTCATTCTGATGATATTGAACGTGGCTCAGTATTTGCGTCGTCATCATTCGATAAAGATGATGATTCTCCGCTATTTAATCAGCAGCAGATGAGAAATATTGGAGAAAACAATGGAGGTTTTGAATTTATTGATCGTGAAATTGGAATGTGTCGACCCGTATGTTGTTGTCTTTTAGGTGAATTAGAAAATTTTATTTATTGTTTTAGCCCAAAAATGGTGTTTGTGAAGTTCATGTATTGAGCGACACAGCAGTACAAATTCATGAGAATTATTTTGCAAAACCTTTAGAAAGAAATGATATACTTAATGCTCCAGCACATTTACCGGTTCCAACATTAAGATTTTCTATTCGACAAATTTCAATTGTTTGGCATATTTATGGTGGAAGTGATTTTGCAACACCAAAACCAAGTAAAATACTACGCTTTTTTTTAATTATCATCTATAGCATCCTGTATGGTAGAAAATCATACTCATTCCTTTACAATTATGACAGACCTGACTAGTGATATGTCTTGTTGAAAATACAACAACTAATTTCAATTTCCAGAGGAATAGGTAAAAGGATCAGCAGCAACTGTGTCCTACAATAGATAGATAGTATAAAACAATCAACCGATGATTAACGTCCGTAAAAAGATTTTTTTCCATACGAGAATCCCAGAACAATTGCCTAAACAACTTTTTTTTCTTTGATATTCTTTGAATTATTTAATTAATGTTCTCATTCTTTGTTTTTCGATTAAGACGATAGCCACGAACAGCCAATTCAATTGAATATTAATGAATCTGCACGATTTTCGTCATCGGCAGGTTCATCGCCAACACAGTGCGTATATTTTTTTTCTATGGAAAATATTTTTTTGTTTTAATGTATTGTATTCTATTTTATAAAGAGAAAAAGCCGGCGGTCGCTTATATAGTTCATATGATACAACACGTGTCGCACGTCATGAACGTGGTGGACCTTGTCGAGATTTACGCACAAGCATGGAATTTTGTATTAGTAAAGCAAGATGTCAATATGAAACATATAGTGAACAAGAAAAAGTTTCATCAAGATGTGTATTTGCCATACATGAATTTGAAATTCGTGATCGTTTATTAGCAAGATCAGAAATAAATAAATTTTTATATTTATATACAACTGAAGCTGCACCAAGACGAACATATGCTGATATGGTATGAGATATCAAATTTTATACTTTTCAATTGTTAGTCATACGTAATCTTTGCTTTTATTTAGTTGGCTGTAAAAATTCTTATTACAAAACCTGAAGGTTACGTGATGAAAACTGCAGATGATGATTTTGAAAATAGTGTTGAATCAAAATCATCATCAGAACCACTGGAATGTGAAATAAAAGTATCATTACAACCATTGAGAATTAACATTGATCAAGTAACAGAAGACTTATTTTAATAAAAAACTAAAATAAATTTTTGTTTCTATTAATATTTAGGATACACTTGTATTTATGAGAAATTTTTTTGTTAATTTAACAAATACTACAAATAATAGAGAAATATCAGCAGCAATATCAGGTAAAACACAATATCTGACTTATATAATTCTATTAAACTTTTTTGACAAATAAAGTAAAACTCAAAATTCTATTTCGACTTTCGTATTATCAAAATTTTAGACTCTAAAATAGATAAGTATTAATAAATAGAACTTATTTTATTCAAACAAAATATCGATTAATTAAGTTTCATTATCATCGAAAACTTCAAAAATATATAATTAATGATTTATTTTCTTATTATTTTTAGTGACTGAGCAAAATCTAAATAGTACAACTACTGAATATCCATTATCATCATTAGATTCCGATCTAAGTTCATCACCATTGTCACGTACTACATCGTCTCCAACATTAAACGCAACAACAACAGCAACAACAACAAACGACTCATCACAATCATCGAGTTCATCTGTGTTTATAAAACATTTTGTTTTTTCACCTGCTTGTACAATTCGTATTGATTATCATGGAAAATTACGTAATGAACAATTGTTTGAATCAGGACCTCTTTTACATTTACTTATTGGCTTAGCACAATTAGCTAAAGTTGACATTTATTTAAAACGAATATCATATAAAAATGGTTTATTGGGTTATGAAAAATTGCTAAGATTTCTATTAAATGAATGGTTAAATGACATACGTCCAACTGATGTCATCAAAGGCATTGTACCATTATCATCTATATCACAAATAGTTATTGGTATAAAAGATTTATTTTATTTACCAATTGATCAATATCGTCGTGATGGCCGAGTTTTTCTCGGTATACAACGTGGTGCATCATCATTTACGACAAGTACAGCTTTGGCATTAATTGAATTAAGTAGCCAACTTGTACGTTGTGCTCATTTGGCTGCATTATTATGTTTTGAACTTGTTTCATCTTCAACAACACTAAACGATGAACCAATATCTACATCGTCGTCAGCGTCATCATCATCACAAGCAATCATGGTACGAAATCATCAACCACCCAATGATATACGTGAAGGTGTTACCTATGCAGTTAATGTTTTTCGACAAAGTTTTAATACAACATCACATCAATTAAAAACTGAAGCACAATTAGGACGACGACGAAAAGGCTTTTTAGGTGTTGTTGGCGGTTTACTAAGACAAATGCCATCGGTTGCTATACAACCGATTGTAACAACAACAAAAGCAGCAGAGAATGTACTTGTTGGAGTTAGAAATCAAATTGATCGTGATAAAAGAAACGATGATAAAGAAAAATATCGAAGTGAATAAAGAGAAATGAGCGAAAAAAAGTATATATATATATTACTATTCTTTATTTCTTCGCTTGATTTTTTTTTAAATAAACTTGTATGTTTTGTAAATCCTTATTTTCATTGACGTGTTTGTTTGTTTTTTCGCTGCTCTCTTTTGCATCTTATTCTATCGGCAATGAGTGTTTGTAAAGAGTTTTTTTTCTTTTCTTTCATATAAAAAACAAGAAATCCAAAGCAAAATCATTTCATTTGATCGTGATTGTCAATTAAAATGATTTGAAATCAAAACGTAATTTGGCATGTCAATAAACAAGGATAGGCGTTTATATTCTTTTAAAATTTTTTTCAAGTATCTTTTTGTTGTGAATATCCTGAGGATATGAGATTACTACACTCGAATGTCAACTTTTTTATCTTCCCTTGAGAAAAGAATTCAAGCGTCAGAGGACAGGTCATTTTTGTTAAACTAGAATCCATGAATGACTACATGAATAGAGATGAACTTTGTACTGTAGAAAATAAAAGTCATATCATCTTAAAGAAATAGTTTTACAAATGATTCGTACTTCGCAGTAATCAGTGATATACGTATTCTTTTTTAAATAGATCATTTCATTCAGAACTTCAGAGGAATTTTATTCTTAAAAGTAAAGTTTTTATCATCAATCTAATCTTGTACAGTATACTGAAACAATAAAAATAATGATAGTTTGTTACAATTATCTGCTGAAGAGAAATGATCTATATAATTAGTTATGAAGAATTTGCAAAAATATGATTTAAAGTAAATATCGTATGTACTCGTGGTCAATTTACATTTGTGTGTGTCACCACTAGTATAATGCTATCCAAAACTGTGGCGCCGACCGTGCACTGTGTCTGGATTTATAAAAAATATTCTTTTTATTTTTGTTTTACTTTTAATCCACAAATCACTTCCTTTTTAATAAGGAATAATTTTCGATAATCACAATTCAGATATACTAGCTGTTTTTCTGCAAGCTTCCGATTGAAGTGATAGTATTCTAAAAATTATGATGTTCAAATATCAAAACCAAAATATAGTAAAAGAAAAGAAAAGCTAACATAGATAGAATCAATATAATGCGTATGAGAAGTTCCATTTTTTCTCTTCTTATTTATGATATTTCATGTACAATTACGTATCGTTAGTAATATAATTTGAGATCATGCAAGATTCAAGTGAATTTAAATGTTTCACTATATTGAGTGTGCATCATTCTGACTCATTTTTAAAGTTCGTTAGTAAATTCATAGTTAACTTCTATACGCCATGAAAATGTGATTCAGAATAAACAAATAATAGTAAATATTTCGATCGCATTTCTCTTTTCTGTACTTCGTAGAAAACTAAACTTTCAACTTAATATAACTTTGCATCGCCATATATTTGAATATCGGTATTATTTTTTTTTTCTTGAAAGATTTCTACAATTTAATATATGATTATTGAAAGAAAGAAAAAAAAGACATAATGATCATAATTGCACAGTATCAATTATGATATGAATTGCATTTTTTGAATAGATTTCTCAATGATTGGTTAGTAAGTTATAGATATCCTTCATTTAAGAATTAAAATCGTAAGAAAATAACTGTTTTCAATGCCATATTATGAGCATGAATTAATAGCAATCGAAGTTTTCATTCATTACAAAATATCGATCGAATTATCTATTCAAGAATCGAATATTGTATCGTGCACGTTAATCTTTGATGAAGTATCCAATCATTTTCTGTTTTGAAACCACTGAAAAGATATTTATTTGAAAACTATCATTTTCTCATGATGAATATGTATCGTTTTCTTTTCAATGAAAAGAATCGTCGGAGCAAAGAGTTATAATTGTTTCTTCACTTATTCAGTCTGTCTGATATCATTATCGACAGTGTTCCTTTTTTTTTCTTTTTCTATTCAATTCGAATGAGACTACCTGTTGTGAGAAAGAGAGTCTTTATACATTCATTCTTTATATACATATAATGAGCATCGACATGTATATTGTCATCAATGGTAGAATGATAAAATGCCAGTAAAGACGATTGTATACACTTTAATGATCAAATAATGATTGTGATAACCTGTTTTTCAATTCATCGTTGGAATGTCATATCACTTCTTTGCTATATGAATTTATATGTTCTGCTTTTCATTCTCTCATTTTTTTTTCGTCTTTCTTATGTGTGAGAACGACGACAATGATGGCCATTAGTCAAATTATTCGTCGTCGATGGCACCCGGGTATCGATTGTTCTGTTCTCTCTCTCTCTCTCTCTCTCTCTTTTACCTGGTCATTAAATATTGCGGGCGGCAGATAAACGGCGACATTCTCAACACCCATGTCTTTATGATCTGCTATGACAGTTAGAAGGATGATGATTAAGCAAACAGAAGTGTTCTCTCCTTCTCTCTTCTCTCTCTCTCTCTCTCTCTCTCGATATTCCTTCGAAAAGGGAATATATACGTATATAAATGAATGAATATGAATACAATAAGCAACTAGACGACAAGATTGAAAGAGAATATACAAATGAGACTTTGATGATGGTACATAAATAAGACTACGACTAATCCAATCAGTTCAAAAAATAAAATAGAAGAAAAGACTTTTTGACAATGTTATCTTTACTTACTTCATCTTCAACATTAAAACAAAATCATCATCATCATCACCATCAATGCACAGAATGTCGAAAATCATTTGCAACTCATAGGTAAATATCGGTTTTTATTTAATTTAATTGAAATTAAAAACAAAATTTTTTCTAGCGGGCTTAAACAACATATGCATATACATAAAACAATCAAACCCTATACATGTGAAGTAAGCTGAAAAAAAGGAATAAAAATTTTTACTATTTAAAAATTAAACATTTTTTTCTATCCTTCTAATACGAAGATTTGTTCAAAAGCTTATACTCAATCATCAAATTTATGTCGCCATAAACGGATTCATTCTCGTGAAATAAAATGTCCCACTTGTTTAATAACATTTCCAAATGGCCAATATTATGTTCGACATAAAAAGACTTGTTTAGTTAATAACGATGGTAGTGAAGAACATAAACGTAAAGCTATTGGTGCTGCTGCTACACAAATGTATCACTCACTATCAATTAATTCAACGAAAGAAAGTTCAGAACCACCAACACTACCACTTGAAACATGGGCGATTTTACATAAACAAATTTTATTTCATTTTTATCAACAGCAACAACAGCACCAGCAACAACAACAAGAGCAAATTATATGTGACACGCCACTTGATTTAACTGTACCGAAAAAAACATCCATTGAAGATGAATCAAATAGTAGTAGTATGATATCAGATGAAGAAGATGATGATGATATTGATGAAAAACAACACATTGAACAACATCACCAACAACAAAATCGTTTAAATGGAAATAATTATTACGAATGTGAATTTTGTTCAAAACAGTTTCCTCGTGCTGCAAATTTAACACGACATTTAAGAAGCCATACAGGTGAACAACCTTATACGTGTTTAATGTGTACAAGATCATTTAGTATATCATCAAATTTACAAGTATGCTAACAAATCTTTTATTTAAAAACAAAATTCACGATAGAATTATCTTGATAATTCAGAGACATATTCGAAGTATTCATCATAAAGAACGACCCTATGGATGTAATGAATGTGGGAAACGTTTTGGACAACAAACAAATCTTGATCGTAAGTTTATTGTTTAATTAAATATATTTTATTTTTCTTTCGTTTGTATTCTAGGACACATGAAGAAACATATCATCAATATATCTCACAACTGAGAATGAATACGTTCAGTTTTTTTCCACATTATCTCTAGCATATTAATCGAGTTGTTTAATATAAAAGCTGCCGTTTTAGATATCATTTTTTTACAGTATATTGACATCTTTTTAATCGAGTTTTTCTTCTTTCTTTTTTTTACGTATACTCAGTTTTTGTTCATATTAATAAATATTGATTTTGAATTATTAATAAAAAAAAATATATATATAGTTGATATTATGAAATGGACCTACTACGTAAAATGACTCACAAATAGATATATTATATCCCATAATATTACAAAACCAAAAATGGTTTTTCATGAAAAATTCTTATTAAAAAAAACACAGAATTTCTTTGAAATTTTATGATCAGGTATAACTTTTTCGGAGCCTTTTGTTAGTTATTAGAAAATTTTTATTTGGCTAAAATTAAGTGTAAAAACATTTATTGCAATAACATTGTAATGATTTTTATTAAAACATTCCAGAATTTTTCAAATAAAATACATAACAAAAGCAAAATTATTCTATCATTTAACCCTGTAGTCTTGATTTCGTTTGTACCATCGAATTGTTTCATTCAGTCTTGTACCAAATGATACTTTTCATTTTTCATTCCAGAGTATTTGCTACTTTACTTTTCGTAATACAATATTGCATTTGTGTAAATGGTCTTGTCTTATCATATAAATATAATATCGGCTTTTTGGGTTTTTAACCAATTAAAATTTTCCTAATGTCATTTAGCTATAGTTACCTAGTGTAATTAATTGATTTTATGGTTGAACATCATAAATTGCCGTTGTATTTTCTCAATCAAAATTCATTTAACTAATCTTAAGGATTTATTAATGAATTTTTGAATGAATTTTACAATATGTTGTCATCGTCTATAAACGTGAGTCAAATGTGCAATAGCATAATATAATTTTAAACTAATAACCGAAGTGTTAATAAATAATCAAGCTGCAACTATGAGTGTTACTGATGAATTGATTGGATTAACAGCATTTTTTTCTTAAAAACTTTTCAATGGGTGTTTCATCATAGACTATTAATACTGGTATGAATAATTTGTATCATATACTCAAGTTGTCCCAAAAACTGATTATTTCTCAGGAAAAATTCGATTTAATGCATGCAATCCTATTAGCAAATGAAGTATCAATTTCAGTTTGAACAGAACAGAAACTTAAATTGTTTTCTTATCAAATACACACATATTTTTTCAAATTTTGGTTAGTAACATGAACTACATGTATACTATACTATTTTGCGATTAAATATTTGTTACAATCAATGATTAATCTGGAAATGTAGAATTGTATACGTGTTTTGTATTCGCCATCGTATTGATTCGATCAATATGCATTATTTTACCTTTTCAATATGTTTTTGGATAATGACTGAATAATGTAGTGTCAATGAGTCGATTCTCATTAGTAATAACAAAACCATTCTTGGTACATTTCGATTACGATGAATCAATTGATATTTGTTTTAGGGATTATTCTATAAGTTTTGATAGTACCCTAAAGAATATTTATTATATTAGATCATTCTCTCGCATTGAAATATTTACTACGGTAGTTTTAAATTAACTGAGAGTTTTATGAAAGATATATCCTTAACGGACCTTCTAACAGATTTTTTTTTCAATTAACATAGATGAAATAGTTTCAAAACGCATTGATCAAAAAAGTAAAATTGATACATCAGAAAAATACTCATCAGAGAGATTTAAGGATGTTCACAACATTTATGGTTTTCATATTGTTTTGATGAGAAAATAATAACACTCATCGATGAACAAAATACGTCTATGCGTTTTCGCATTTTAACGAAAGACTTGTTGTTCTCATTAATGTTAACTAAATACATGTTTACATCTGAATCCGTTGATAGTAGGTGTAATTTCGTACGATTCTTATAGATCAGCAAAAGTTGAATTTGAAGGCTATTATTCTTGTTGTTCTTTTACAAAATGAATTGCTTAAACGAATTCAACAACATTATACCTTTATTACAAGCATCTTTTCATTTTGTATTTGAGTATCATGGACTAATACATATTAGCTACAGATATATTAGTCAGTTGTGATTTTTAGGAAAACTACTATTAACATATTTATATTTGACATAGGTCATCAAAACATCTTATAAAAACTGCGATGTTGGTCAATTGAAATGACAACATATTGATTATTGGATTTTATCAAAACTAATTGATAGTGTAGTTTTTTTGTAACATTAACCATTAATACTTGAGAATTTTAGGTTTATATGATCATATTCGATAAGTAATAAAGAAGACCGATATGAAACTAATGAGGATGTTTCTTTATGCATCAGGCTTTGAGCGTTATGAATATGATCGTGTCAGATATATGTTATTCTCAATCATATAATAGAACAGTTCATTACTTCTTTGACAATTAACGTCTGCGCTGACAATAATTTATAAAACATATCGACGCGTCGCTTATCTCTCATGCTTCTTTATTACCACATAAAGAGTAACACGAATTTTTAAAAAACCATAATTATATTGTTTATTGTATAGGATGCTCACATTTTTTGTTCAACTTCATTTCGTTAATTTCGAATAACTCGTTTGATATTAAATATGATGTGAGTTGACTTGATTCGGTAGTACTCTTGAATCCCATATGGCAATTATCATTGACATTTGATTGTAAAACAGTTTATTGTCACTCTGAGAATAGACAGATAGTTCTTAACTGCAACCAGAATTTATGGCTCAGGTAGATCGAAATTTTCAATCTAGATCTAATGTTTTGGCAATCAAATCTTCGTGTATCATCAAACAATTCAAGATCTAATGCTTGCTTATGGATAAATTTTGTCGCTTTTTACCACATAGTTAATCTCCTAGTTGTTCTGATGTCCATCTGCATTCAATAAGATTGGTATTCAAGAGACCTTTGACAAATACATTCAATTCTTACAGTGAATATTTTAATCGAATACGCAATAAGTTTCGTTGGGCAAGATGCACGGACAAAAACATGGCTATGATTCGTTACACATGAATAGTGAATTTTCCATTCACAATAGGATAAGAATTGATTACTATATAGAAATGCCTATGTCTACTATTATCAGTATTATTTATTCTGCATATTTTTATGAGAGTCAGACTTATTAATTCGATCAATTTTTATCTCAAACCAAATCAACACAACGATACGGTATTGGTTGGTAACCTATAGTGCAGCATTCATGTTTCTACAATCTAATGCAAGAAATAAATTATTTTTTAAGTATTTTTCACTAGATAGTTATAGTTCTATCGTCAAAGTTGTGCTGTATTTATCATCTAATTTAGTTATAAATCCGTATCCTACGGGATGACATTTACGACGAAATAGAGCGTGTTTATTAACTTTTTTTTATTAACTTTTGATAAGAATGCGAAGAAAACTGTATTCAATATTGACTGTTATGTGCTTCAAACTACTGCTATCATTACAATGTTTATTTGAAATATGAGTCATTCTCTTGCTGTTTCTACAGGAAATACGCTCTCTTGCTTTCAATTTTCTTTATTGACAAACGAACATGAATAAGATTTCTCTTGCAACAAGGAGGCAATGAATGACGTCTTTCTCTTTTTTACTTTACTAATATATATAAAAGCCTCGTTCAATTTCAATTCATATCACTTGTTAACAGAACAATTATTATACAGATATAAATTTTCAAGCACATATGGGTAGCGGTTATTCGAATTATCATTATCGCCCACGTTCTGGGCTACATCGTAATCCTCATTACATTGCTCCAGGCTATCGTTATCCTAATTATATGAATTCTGGCTTTGGATTTGATCCTCACCATCATCATCCTCATCATATGAATTATGGATTCGGTAACCATCATCATCATGGTGGCTTCGGTGGTGGCCACCATTTTGGAGGTGGCCATCATGGGCATTGTTAATAAATTTTAATCAAGATACTTATTGCTTATTGATATGACATTGTACATTGTTTAGTTGTAAAAATAAATATTTATTTTATGAACAAATCTTGTTTTATAAAAGACGCAGCAGTGAAAATTTTGAATTATTCTTTAGAGTTAAATAATCTGAGAAGCATTTAAAAGATTTTAGCATTGGTTCCATTTCCTAAGTTTTCATTTCTTTTTAATTAAAATTTCTTAATCACTGAAGTGCATAACTTCAATATTTTTTGAGTAAACTCATTCATGTAAGTCTCATTCTTAAAATGTCATACACATCTAGAAGTGGAAAAGAAAAATAAATAAATTTTGTTTTACTGAAATTCAAACTAGATTTGCAAAACACAAAACAAAAAAACATCAGTCAATGAAGTTTCTGTTGTATTTAAATATCATTAAATTATTGTGATCAAGATATTGAGCAATGGTTACTAAAAATAGTTTTTTTTCTCTGACTATTTTATTGCATGCAATAAAAGTAGACAAATATCATTGAAGGTTGTATCGAATTATATTAGTCATTGATAAGATTATGTGCGAAGGCCTATGTTTCCAATTCTGTGACGAATGAAATCGGATCAGCATACATATATGCATGAGAGTTAATCGCAAATAAAATACAATTATTTGTGGAATGTATTTCATTCTTATATCGGTACATTCATTTTGTCGCTTATTTCTATTTACACTGAAATCATACTTTAAATTCTCTTGGTTTTTTTGTTTGGATTTAGCAACAGAATATAAGACATCTATATGTTTATTATTATTCAAGTGAGTAAATTTGAGAGTTTCATGAAAGAATCTATTGATTTAGTACAAAAATTATTTATGCTTTATATATATATATATATATATAGAGAGAGAGAGAGGGACTTTCAATCTTATGTATTTAAATAACAAATATTGATTGTGATTTGGAATTCGATGTTTGTATCGAATTCGCCTTAGATGAATTCCCGTCTAGTCTACATATTTTTTTCTAATTATTTTTCAATGGAATGCATTATATAGATTAGACAGAGAAAAATGAATGTGTTCGATATCAAAAGAAACATTATATGATGAATGGTATCGTGCTTGGATATATAATGCATTCTTTTTTATTCTTCTTCGGAATATGCTATACAAGGTGCCAGCATTGCTCAGCTGTGACACCACCCAAAAAACATATACAATAATAGAAAATAATGAATTCTATTGATGTACAAATATATACATATGCATATGTATTGAATTGAATTGTAAAAAGAAAATTTTTGCCTAAACACTTATTATATCATATGTGTGCAATAAAATTTATCGGTAAGTGAACATTAACTTAATGTCCCGAAGCAAATTAACAAAGATAGAATATGAATTCTTTCGCCTGTATTTGAGACATTGAGAAGAAAATTATTATTCGCAATAGCTTCAGAGAATGGTCATACATTAGGTTTTTTCCTCGTTAGAAAATATAAAAACCTGAAGCATTCGCTTCTCTATAATATATTAGCAGAACGGTCAAACATACTAAATTTCTTGGTGATGTCATTGATCATAGCAACTATTACCCAAATGAATTTCTGAATCGTTTTACAGTATACTTGATCATGCAAATTTAATCATATTAAAATAGAAGTTTGCATAAGATATGTAATCGTATCGTTTCTAACGCATAATTAAGTATTTCCCTAAACTGTTCGTTCTCTGAGATTTTCCCTTGTTGATGTTTAACGGCAAGACTATCGATTAATTTTAGTTTTACTTATACGATTCATATTACACATATGGTATATTAAGTAAACACTTATTATCGAACTGTTAAACTAATCATCACTCAAATTTTATTTGATAAAAAATACTAAAGAAGAGTCGATACAGACGAAAAAACTCTTATACGAATGACATCTTCTCTTATGAATACAGATTCATCTAATTTATTAGTTTCTCATATAACATATGTTAACTAAACTAAAATGATGATTTGATGTTTTTTTTTTATTCACTATTTTACTATACCGTATATATAAACGGTTGTTTATAATACGTAGAACATGATTTTGTACTATATAATATGATTAAGTTGATAATTGATTTATTGTAAAACAATAAATGAAAATCTATTTGTTATAAATTCAATTCTTTCAATGTTGTCCTAACTGATATATTGAACAGATGGTGTCGTTGGGTGTCACCATGTCTGTTGTTCATCATCACCATCGGTAGGCTGAACCATGGTGACACATTCAACAAACAGCATAGAACAAGCGAGTCGAGCGTGATAATAGCTCAAGAGAAAGAGAATAAGGGGACAATAGATTCAATTAAATGCAGTAGTAGCAGCAGCAGTGACAACAAGCATCCCCCTAGTGTATGTATATGCGCTTTGTCATCGTACACATTTTTTCTATCAATACATTCAATAGACTGATCTATTGTTCAAACAAAAGAATTCACTTTCGCCTTGAAATTTCATACGAGTCCACGATAGTCGAACAATTAAATTGTCTCTGACCAACTTGTATATACACACAAGCATATGGATAAACATAGTGAGTAGATGTTTGTGAATGGAGTCGAGATTGAATTATAGCAAGAAGTGATTTCATCAACCAGATGCCTACTCCATTGACCAGATAAGATTTACCCTATCACCATAATCATCATTTACAATGGTGATTGATGTTCATTCAGACAATAGTTCAAAAAGATTGACTAGTTTGTCTATTTTGACATATGAGCTACCTTTGCTATCATTAATTTTCTTTTTTTCTTTTATGAATAAATGCATGTTATTCTTCGTTCAAAAAAAAAGCAAAGGATCATCATCGTTTGATCGTCTTAGTATGGGGTATACACATATACGTACATACATACATGCATATAATACAAGTCTCTTGAAAGCAATTAAACCAGATGCTCTGTAAACGACCGGCTGATTGTATTTCAAGATCAAAACAGACATGATGTTCAATCAATGTGTGAAACACATTCATATATCATCGTCGCTCTGGAAAGCGAATGAATGACCATGAGAAAAGCAAAGGGCGGTCGTCATAATATTTATCTTGTATCATTAACAGACAATCCATACACATATGTGAAGAGAAAAAGGAGGGTAACATTCTTTTTCCTATTTGTAATAGCATCAATAGACTGCAAGGCAAGTAGAAATTGCGTGTATATAACAACTTTGTCTGACTGAGATCATTTTATACGTATGTATATAATCTTCTTATGATGAATTGTTAGGATAAATATCTTTTCTTTCTATTAACAATAAAATAATACTTTGTTTTTGCTTTAAATAAGAATTAACTTAGATATAAATAGTATTTTCAATCGTTCACATGTGAAATCGATTGTCCATAGAGAGGTACGTATTATACACAGAGAGAAAAAGAAGAAAAAAGAAAATAAAAAGAAATCGATGCTAATCGAACCAAATGGAAATGGTCACTGCCTATTCGATAGAAGTCAATCTGTCCATTGTATAATCTCACGGGACTAGACTAGTCATGACTTCGTAAAAATGATGAATTTTTGATAATTCTACTTGACGCATTAGAGACAGACTCTTGATCGACCGATTGCCTGATGTGTCCAGTTTCTTTTTATTTTAATCTCTGATGTGTACACGTGTGTACGCGTGGCATTTCATGTCGGCCAGCTCGAAAGAAAAAAAAACCCATTAAAAGAATACAAAGCATAGTACAACTATACATCCGGCAGCAGTCAGTTCATATGACTCGTAAGTCCGGTCAGACAGTAGGTAATGATCAGCGCGGTTGACCGTGAAAATGAGCTATATTCTCATTTTGACATTGTGAAAGAAAAAAAGAGCGAGCAAGAAAAATGCCAACTAAACTACCATTTTTCGAAATGCACTACTCCGCAGGGCCACTTTAAATGTGTTCCTTATACTTTGTGTTCAAGTGTTGTTCTTTCTAATTTTTTTTCTTCTTCTTCTCATTCTCGATATTCTTCTTTTGACGGTAGTTGAACATTATTGCATCATAACCAATAGCTAACTTGGCTAGTGCTGATATTTATTGTCTATATCTCATTTGCGAGTGGCATCAATGGTGAAAGGTCGCTAGTATAATTCCTGTCGCCTAATATAAAATGTGCCGATTGACCGGTCGTTACACATACGTACACAGATATCTAGAGATGGAACGATCAGTTATCGGCACAGCGATTCATGTTCTTTCTATGGAATAGACAAACCGAGGATAAGCATAAACATACATATACAGAAATGCATAGTGGTCAATTACTAGAGTATGTCAATTCGCCGCTTCTAATGAGGCAACCAGTGGTTGTTGCTATGTATGTATATAAATAATAAGGTGGAAATATTCATTGATTTTCTTTTTTTTACATTTCTTCCTCTGTGTACGTGTTGTATGTCGAGAATGATTACGGAGCTTGAGGTGATTCGTATATGAAGCGAGAAAAAAAGAAAATTACTACCGTTTACATCGCGTAATTTCAACTTCTATATACGAGACAGTGTTAGCCTTAGGGTACTAACATCGTTTTTCTTTCTCACTCAAAACGACTTCTTTAAGCTCGAAAATGGGTAGTTATATAGTAGATGAATGAATGTAAGTCACATAGTGTGTCTGCCTTCCGGACTTTGTATGTCCGTTTGAAGGCGGGCAATTAGAACTAAAGAAAGAAAACGAGGACAACGATTACGTGATGATGAACCGGAAACAAATCACGTGTAATTATAGTCGAAAGATCTCGTCTTTTTCTTTTTTCTTTTTCTTTTTTTCTTTTTCATTCAATGAAATGCCAGATGTGTAAAACTAATGGCCACTATCGAAACAAGGCTACTTAAGTATATGACATTGATCTAGCCTCTTGATGGTGATGATCATCATCATCTTCATACACATTCTTGAAACAACATTTGAATATCGACACTACCACCAACTGTTCCTCATCTAGACGATAACATGGTGAGTTCAGACGGTTTTTTTATTTTC